ATCCATAATGTCATTTGTAAGTATGTATGTATGCGCACGGTTATGTATGTATATGTGCAAGGTTAAGTATATATGTATGCGCAAGGTGAGTATGTATATATGTGCACGGTTATGTATGTATATATGCGCAAACTAGTATGTATGTATGAGCGAATTAAAGTATTAAAGTATGTATTATACGTACATTGGTTAATGGTCTGGGAGACCCGGGATTGATTCTCACTCACTGCATTTACGTTTAGGAGGAAGAAGAACGTTTTTGAAGAAGGAAGGAAAACACTTTGAACCTGGAACCTACGGCATGAAAAACATTTTCACTGCCACTGCACCACACAACCACAAAAGAGACTATAGTTAATTCACCAATAAACCTTAACAGATTTTGCTGTCAACATTTCATAAGCATTTACTGATTTAGCTGTTGCTTTGATTTGATCAGCTCACAGTCTGTGAATGGCAGATTCTCCTCACCCAATACAGTGGGCTGTCACAGGAGTTAAAACTGCTCTTTCTGCATGAAGAGCAATGACACATGCAGTGAGTGGGAATTGATCCTGAGTCTCCCACAACAAAGGCAATTGCATTAACTACAGGGCTACGCACTTTGCGCATATATACATACTTAACCTCGCGCATATATACATATTTGACCTTGCGCAGATACACACCATGCACAAACATATATACTCAACCTTACGCACACATACATACATACTCACCTTGCACATACATAAATACTCACCTCGCGCATATATACTTACAAATGACAGTATGGATGTATGTGCGAGCGTGTATGTATGTACTGTATGTGCGTGACGGTATGTACAGTATGTATGTGCAAGCAAAGTGTACAATTTTGGCCTAAGCGGCTTTTCATATGCATCTGTGGTTTGACCTGTATGTCATCTTGTCCTTTCTCACTCCTTTAAATAACTGTTTTACCTCTGAGTGACGTGAAACACTTTCATTTTGACACTTCAGAAATTATACTGTAGACTTCACCACTATTGCTTTCTCACCCAGATGCTGTCACAGTTAATTTTCTTTACTCTGCCTTTTACAGCAATTGACTTTGTTCTGTTAAATGAAAGTTAAGTGTTTAAATTGCCAATCCGCATTTTTAGTTTGTAAAGATTACAATATCAGTGCCAACTACTGTTCATGACAACATGTGTAAGCTTATGAAAAACATTGTCTGCACTCACAATTTTATCTAATTGTATGATGGTCAAGTACATTTGAGGGACCTTTATTTTTACAGCATCATTAGTAATCAGTGAATCTTCTTTCAGTGGTCAGTTAATGAGGCATTAATTGCTGTGTTGCCTTAATATTCTTTCTGTCATGATACAGCCAGTTTGAAGAGCATCGGCAGTACTTCTAACTGTAATGTGTACTAAACAAATGAAGGGAATATTCAGCTTTTTACAGCCTGTATTTTATAATTCTGGCCACTATTCCTTTTGGTTGTAGTTTGCAAATCTTTAGAGAAACAGGGACGTGATAGCATCATCAGCGACAAATTAATAATTATTTTACATTGTTTTCCAAAATAAAGTAATCAGAAAGCTTAACCTGTTGTCTAAACTAATTCATGAAGTTGAATTAAGATATTATACCCAATAGGAATGATGGTCAAATCTACCAAAATAACAAGAAATGAATGATTAGATAAATTGATGATTGCCACATTGTATGAGCGGCCTATAATGAAAATGCAGCACGTTGTCTTTTAAGACGATGATGTGCTTCTGTTACATTATAAGTATATTGTTACTCTAGTTTAGGACAACAAGCCACTTGATATTCAGTATTATTTGTCTTTGTAGCTTTATAAAGCAGATGTAAGTTTTCAGAGACCATGTCAAAGAAGGCATTACAACCTGGCAATATCTGGAATATCTATTATGTAACAGTGTTTTTCATTGGCAGCTGGCTTGTGAAGACTATTTATTATAAGTCATTATAAGGTCATTATAAGCACAACCTTTGTTATTCCACTCTGGATTGGCTATATATTTCATTTTTCACTAAATAAAGTAATTGTGGCTTCAAAACAAATCATGGTTTTCATTTCCTCCTTGTGAGAAGACATTGTAAAGTCATTAACAAAACACATGTCTCTAAATAGAAACAAAGTTTCATATCGTCTCCTTTAAAGTGTGTCGTGTATTGATCACCTGTACTTGTAAAGTCTTTGATACCACCCAGAATTCTCACCCTCAAAGCTACAGAAAAAGGCAGTTGCCCCAATTGTGCCATCTCTATCTTTGATGATAATTTCGGCCTTACAGTCAGTATCACTTTAGTGATACTCAGTATGATGATATGGTAATAATCTCACTCTTCTGCAGGTGTGTTGGATAAAAACCTCTCCATCCTCACCTGCCAGTTATACCTGTCTGGCATACTAGAGTGTTACATTGCTGTTGATGGCAGTTACTATAACCCTATTGCTACAATGTACCATTTTCTTAATCAGTTTCTGACTGTGAGCAATGGGGTCCTACATGAACACATGATTTTCTGACAAAGGTCGACAACTTTTGGTTATTTCACTTTTGTCTCTGCACACTTCTCACTGCTTTGAAATTGGTCTGACCCAGTTGGAAAAATGTGTTTATAAATAAATAAATTAAATAGTTTTTAGTTTGTTCACTGTCAATTAGATATAATCAAACCACACCACACCCCTGGAGTACTGATAAAACAGTTTGACTGTTTAACCCTCAATAAATAATAATAAATAGTTTTTAATTTTTTATCTTTTTTAGTCATGAATATTTCATGTTTTAGAAAAATACTTTCAGGGGGCTTTAAACATGAAAGTCAGTTCTTTGTTATTAAAGTCATTATTTAATTTCAAATAAAGCTTTGGCTGTTTCAGATGTAGTTGGTGTGATCGACCTGATGTGCAGACTCTCTTTTCTTCTGTATACTTCGTTAGACTCTTTAGTGTAGTTCAGTGTCTTGTTTAAGCCGACTCCTTACTTGTTTTCTACTTCTTACTGCTTTTTTTGGAGGTTTGTGACTGACCACTAAAGGAAAAAGCAGTTCTTCAAAATGTATTGATCGAAAGTTAACAAAATTATTCTGTTTTTTACTTTCAACAAATGTATCAACAATTTTTTACTTAAATCTGTGTCCCACTACTCACAGTGATGACTAAACTATTTCATTCCTCCTCTCTTTCAAATATAAAAAAAACTCCAGAGCTGTTGTCCTTCCTCTGATGATAATGAGGCCTAATGACCTAATTAGGATGAGGAGGGAACTGATACAATTTCCCAATATTTTAATAATAACAGTTATTTGAAAAAAAGAAAAGAAAATAGATCACCTTGTTTGTCCAACAACAATAAAATAATACCAATCAACTACAATGGCTTCAACAGGTGGCATTCTACGCAAGGTATCGAATTAAGTACTCCATTGGTATCGGTATCACTTGAAGGGTACTGGTTTTGGTACTGGTGTCTTTTAAAGGATACCCAACCCTAGTGGGTACTAAGAAACTAGTTTGTTACTGTCAGTTTCTCTCACATCTTTGTAATTGAATGATGTATAAAAAATATATGTTAGAGATTCATTCTTGTCCATCATTTAGTGTGTAGTTACCTCCTCCTTGTGTGCACCTAACTGACTACTAGCACAAAACTTGCATTTACAAGTGTTGTGTCCAGGTTAAGTTCAGTGGTAGAATATAACAAAGTACTGTATTTAAGTACAAATTCGATGTACTTGCACTTTACTTGAGTATTATAGTATTTTCTTCTTATGCAAGTTAACACTTGCCTGAAACATTGTACTTTTTAATCCTTTAATTTTCTGACAGCTTTAATCATCATTTTTACTATTTTAAAGGCATATGAGAAAACACATGAAAATGTAGTAGTACAACTGAAATGAGTAGTCAACTGACAGAAAATGATTTACCAGCTATTTTGATAATCGTTTAAGTAATGTAGAAAAAACATTTCACGGTCCCAGATTTGCTGTTTTTTAAATATTAATTCAAGTACATTGTATTTTTAACAAAACAAAGCATTGTGAATATGTCACTTTGGGCTCTGGATAATTGTGATGAACATTTAACACGTTTCTGATTTTTCTTACAAACTAAATAATCAATTAATCCATAAGGATTAATCCATAATGAATCCACCTCAACCAACTAAAATCAACTGTGAAACATTTTACATGCACTATAACAGCCACATGGGGCCATTTCTCTGCAATGACTACTTTTACTTTTGATAAAGTAGATTTTTGTGATTATATTTATATATTTCAATGCAAGATTCATACTTGTAACAGAGTATCTTTACAGTGGGGTATTAGTACTTTTACTTACTACTCTAGGAGGTAACTATTTTTTCCACCACTGGCTAAGTTATCAAGTTGGTGGCATAAAATAACGAAGTATAGAGGCACATGATGTATCCTTTTCCCGTGCTTAGCTGTGCCAGAAGAATGTAAACAATTGATGGATTAGATGATGCAGCAGCAAATGCACATACACTGCTGACTGGTAGGCAAAGTTCACAGTATTCAGTATCAAGGGGAAGCAGAGACTGGTTATACATATACATTATTCTTCTCAATTTCCTTTTGGTAAGTCCATGTTCGTGTTCAAGAAATTGGAGGTTTGTGATTTTTGTATCAGTTTATGCAGATGTTGCAAATGACACACAATGGGGACCCAGCTTATTTAGTTACGACATTTCATTATTCATATTTGTGGTGATTGAAAAAACAGACTTTTGTTACCTTTGTTCACTAATGACTCATGATCAAACAGGTGTTTTAAAGTAGAAGTCATATTCCTGTAAGTGCAGCAGTCATTAATTACGCTATTAATGAATTATTATTACTCCTTCTGTCAGGTATGTTGTTTATTTGTGTTTTATTGTAGCTGGGTTTGTTGGATTTGCTTTGCGCCGAGCACTGAAATTTTTGAGTTGTTGAAAAGTCACTTCTTCTGTATTCTTTTTTTGCAGGTCATCTTCAGGAAAGGTGAGCCCAGAGAGCATTCATTCAAAGGCATCTCCGTCAGAATCATCTGAAGATAGTCATGACCAGCGTGGAAAGAAACCACCCCCAAGTCCAGGGAAAAAAGAGGAATTGTCTTTATACATGAAGACCAAAAGAGCAATAACAAGCAAGAAGTACAGCATGTCCAAGCATGAAGCTGAAGCAACAACACCCATTGAACTCATCAGCCGAGGCCCAGATGGACGCTTTGTCATAGATCCCACTGACACAGAAATGTCTGTTAAGCCCCGTCGAATCGAGGGCTTTCCTTTTGTGGAAGAATCAGACCTCTATCCTGAATTCCGACAGTCGGACGAAGAGAATGACGATCCCAGACCTTTGCCTCCAGTTATGGCCCCCCTTCGGCCTCACCAGATTTCCCCCATCTCAAGTCAAGAATCCTACCTGCAACCTCCAGCCTACAGTCCTCGTTTCCAGAGGCCCTTTGAAGGTATGACCATCATGGAGAGCAGTCGGCTCCAGGCCACAGGGCAGATCCGAGGCTCACTCCACCACAGGGCTTTCTATGGCTATCTAGGCCACCCTGGGGACCATGATCCCCCACCTCCTTTTTACATGCCTGATACCAGTCCACTGAGCTCTGTCATGTCCTCCCCTCCATACCTTGCTGAAGGTCCTTTTGGTCACCCCATGATTCCTGAAGAAATGGGGGAGGCTGATTTCCCACAGTATGCTGTCTCTGGTTTCCCACTTCCTCTGACACTCACCTCTTCCTCTCGTTCACCGGAGATTTGGCAGGGACTGGATTTTACCTTTGCAAGTCTGGAGGGGCCCCAATTTATTTTTCCACCACATCACCCTTTACATCTCCGCCACGACTCCCCCTATCCTCCTCCACCTCATGTTCTTCCCCTTAGTGCTTTCCAGCCCTCCTCCCTTCCAATGCCCACTTACCCAGCTGTCCTGCCACTGGAGGCCCCAAAGAGCCACTCAAGCAAGTCTCCCAGCAAGGCAAAGCCTCATGGCTCCCCAGCCAAGCATTTAGCTATGCAAGAGGCACATTTAGGGCAGCTAAGACACACAAGCCACGGTATGGGTGTGCCAGTTTTGCCTTTCACTGATCCAATGGCCCATATTGTCCCTAGCACATTCAGTAGTCTGGACACACGATGGTTTGAAACCCCCCCTCGTTTCAGTCCGAGACAGGCTCGTAGAATGGATTCTGGCATGCATCAGGTGGTTCTCCAGCCCTCTCGACTCTCACCCCTCACCCAAAGCCCCCTTAGTTCTCATGAGGGCTCCCCAGACATTGTAGTCCGTCCACGGCCACGTCCCAGCATTGTCCAACCTCCCATACCCCCAGAGATGTCTGAGATTACCCTCCTCCCTCCTTCCACAGCCAGCTTCTCAAGGAGATCTTCCCCATCCTCCTCACCTGCCCTAGGCCAGGGTAGCAGGAGATCAAGTCCCAGCTACCGTTCCCACATGGCCTTTGCCACCTCTGCAACCAGCTACCCAGCTTCCCAGTCCCCGTCACCCCCCATGGAAAGCAGCAACATTTTTGGGCAGATGCCATCTCAGAGGAGGACAGAGGAGGAGATCCTTCCATCTGAGCCCTCTCCACCCCAGTTGTCAGCTTCAGGGTAGGTGCATTAGGCATGCAGAGAGGGATACCATTTGAGTCATCTGCCCCAACCCATATTGCTTTGATGTGTGAAGTTGCTGACATTTTGGTTACTGAAGTGCTGTCTAATATCCATCAATTTGGCAATTTAGTTGTATAGTTTAGTTTTTGCTTTTTTTCATTTATTAACACTTTCATTTGAAAATCAAAACTTTAGGGTTGAAAGAAAACCATTTTGTTGTGATTCATTTGATCAGCTCTGGAAGTTTTCAGTTTATTTTCTATTTGATCAATGCTGCTTTTCATGTCAGACATCAAGTTAGAGGTATTCACCCATTGAATCTGTGAAGCATTGTTCCAAAATGATCACCTTAAAGAATACATTGTATTTTCCAGCGAAAAGTCCAACAATATAAAATGTGAAACAAATTATTTGTTGAATTGACAAGAAAATGCATTTGCTTCATAGATGACATTTCAGACCTTTTGGGGCTACAGTCCATCCGGATGAAAAATACTATTGCCAGTGTGCTGTGTAATTTGTTTGGCACAAGCCCCTAAAAGCCTGGGAATCTGCAGACATCACCACAGGATCCCTTTTTTTTCCATCTGTATCATGCGTTACCCTGCTTTCACCTAACAGGAGGAATCCCATAATATTCATCCAGTTGATTCCCCAGACAAAACAAACACCCATTGTTATGTCTAGCTCCAAGCCTTTGAAGATGCCTTTATCATGCGGAGGGATGCTTTAAGAAGAGTTCATCTTGGCAGGCCCTGCGGCCCATCCTCGGCCTTAGTAACCTGACTGCATGACCAATTCTCCCTTACCTTCCAACCTCTCAGATTTTTTCCTACTCTACTTCCCCTTCCCTTTCTGTAACCCTCCTCTCCCCAACCACCTTAATTGCCCCCAGGACATCCCCAGGTCTGACTACGAAGGAAAGGTTCTTGGGCAAAGTGTGTCACAGGGCCTGTCCGCTTATCATGTACTGCAATGTCTCCATCATTATGAATTAGGGGCAGTATGGTGGTTCTTGATGGCTCCTGGAGTCTTACCTGCTTTGTTTTTGATTGATCTCAGCTATCTGGGCAGCGTTGTTGTGACCAGGTCCTCTACACCGCAATAGGTAAGGGTTGGATCCATGTCTGAAAGGGGGGGGTTAGCAGGTGGGACTTTTTGATCACCTCGTCCTTTAAAGGGGAATACAAGACTTTGAGTCTTTGTTTGATTTGTTCCTTCCTTCAGTCAACACGTGTAATTTATTTCATTTCTTTTTCCTTTTTCTCAAACTGGCTATGCATTTTAAGTTCTGCAGTCTTCAGTACATTATGCATTCTGACTGATATGCATATGCCATATGTAAGCTAAAAGATTAGGTCAGGGATGTATCACTAACATGATTTCATGCTTGAGTGGTTTGCTAACTGACCACATTCACATGCAAATATTTAATCTGTTAATAACAAGGTTAGGTTAGGTTTACACATAAGTAAAGAAATAGTAATCTTATCAGCCTCAAATCAATGTAACTATTAATTCAAGCAGTTATTGGTTACTTGGTTCACTAGTCTGAAAATGATTTTGGCAAGGGTCACCTTTAGGTATATAATACATTTCAGGATAATATTTGGTGCAAAAGCCGAAGAGGCCAAACTGGACAGTACTGCAACTGAATACTTACAAGCTTCAGACATGTTTCTACGCACAAACACCTGTAATCTAGAGATAAAACCACATTGAAAGGCATAATGAGTAAGATTTGTCAGGTGCATTTAATTCAAAGTTGACCTCTCAACCATTGAGACAGAGAGACCAAGCAGTGGTTGTTGAGCAAGCTAAAGGGTGAATGAAGAGAAGGAGTGGTGTTAGCAAGAATAAAGCAGTAATTCAGAGAAAAAAAAACTTATTTTGTGACTGTTTCACAGTGGTTACGTTCTAAAGCACACATTTACACAGCATGATTGTCAGTGCAGAAGCAAGCCCTTAAAAGGTCTGCTATAATTTGATTACATTTGACAGTGTACTGTAGTTTGATGGTTGCTCGGCCCTCTACTGACTTCTCTATTGATTTCTCTATTTGCTCTGCCCCGGTGCCCTGAGACAGATCAATGCGCTCGACACCCAGTTAGTTAGCAGTATGCCATAATTGACCAGGATGATTGGTGCTTACCTGCCTCATCTAACCTTGAATCAATGCGAAGAACTCAGCAAACTTAGCAAACAATACTGTCACAATCTAACGTCAATTCAAGATATCATTATGGATAAGACATGCTCCTTCTGCTTCACTCCACGTGGCTCAAGACACCTACTCCACCTGCTTCAGCTGCGGTTCACTAAAGCTTTGTGCTCGAGCACGCACAGAAGCTTTGCTCAATCCATTATCTGTTGCAGTATTCTCAGAAAGGGGTCATACAAACAAAATGTTCTGTGAAGGAGCAAGAAGTCAACAAGTGTTTCGAGAAGACCTCCAAGGACCAAACATGGCTGCACGCTCTGCTATAAAGCTTCTCAATGCTGAGGATGAATTGTCAGTAATTGTAAACACATATTGTGGACATACTTTATCCCCTTTATACCATATCCCTATAAAGAAAGACATTTTAGTATAAAGTTTTCTCAGCAAGAAGGTCGTGGTTTCAAACCCTGGTTGCCCTGGACTTTCTGTGTGGAGTTTGCATGTTCTCCCTGTGCGTGGGTTCTTCCCAGGGGTCCAAAGACATGCGAACTAGGTTAATTGGTGACCTTAAATTGTCCTTAGGTGAGAGTGGTTGTTTATCTGTATGCCTTACCGCTTTTTCATATTAGCACAGCTGTAAGCCATTTCTCCCATTGGCCAGCTTCTTCATTATGGTATCAAATGCTGCTCAATCCTGTCCAATTTCGTATATGCTAATGTCTAGCGAAGCCTTCTTGGGAGGCTCCTTTGCCCCTCTGACTACGAGACCGAGCTGATTGCCAAGGAGATTGTCAAGAATTACAATGAATCCCACTCTAAGGCGGCAGCCTTTCTCATGATGTCTCCGATCTTTGCTATCAACTGTGAGAAAACCATGTGCGCTACATACAGTAGGTCAGACACAGACAGGTTTAGGTGAGCCATTTGATGCTCAAGGAGCATGAGTGGGGAGCGCTCCTCAACATGCCATTCCTCCAACTCACTATTTGGACTCAATGTCCATCAAGATGTTAAACTGAACCAGTTGCAACAGGTAATCTTGACCTCCTCTTCCCACTCACTCTAAAAATGTGCCTAGTAGTGGTTTGGAGGACCAGTCTCATCAGGCCAGAAAAAAATAATCCTAATAATAAAGGACCACTCATTACTTCCTTTACCAATAGCGAAGTCCATTAGACGGCCACACACAGTCATAGAACTTGAGTTACATCCTGGTAACGTAGATATTTCATTATAAAATGCAAATGTGCTGTTCTCAGCATGTATGATCTCCAATTTATTTTGGTGTCTTGTGTCATTCTGTACTATATAGATTATTACAAGGTGTGGCATACTATGTATGAAAGGGTCATCTATGTGAACCTTCACATAGACAGTCTTTATTCTCAGATGATCACTTTCTAAAAATTTAGCACTCTCCTCAAGCGTGACACATTTTGCCATTTATATGTCACAGATGCTTGGATTGTATGGCACCAATTGAAAATATTTTGGACCCCAATCTCCAAGAAATATTTTGTAAGATTGGCGTTATGTCACATTAAGCTGTGTGTCCACTGGGAGCCATCATTCACAGCTCTTTTTTTGCATTAACAATAAAGCTGATATGCTGTTGCATGTTCTTAGCAGTGACGAAAGCTTAGCATGTGTGAAGTTCTCAGTGCACCAGATTCAAGAAGTTAAAAATATTCCAGCTTTTATCAGAAATGCACCAGATTCCTTGCAGGGTTGAACAGCAACAGAGCAATATCAGGAGCCATGACCAGCATTTCCTGCAAGTATCTCTTTAGCCCAAATAAGTAAAAGCAGATTCCTGGTGGACACATGGCGTTAATCCCTTGTATAAAGCATCTGTATAGAGCATGAATCAAACCATCTACTATAAGTATACAATTGCACTTTGAAGTTTGGACTGCAGAACAGTTCTCACTGCTATGTGAAACAAGTGTCCTGCCAAAACAGCTTACAGGCTTCTTTTTATCCTAAGGAACAAATATTTTTCCAAGGGCTTGCAGGGGGGTAGGGGAGCACACAGGGGGCTTCAGGACCCCCTTATATTTGAGTGAACTGCCCAATGAAGTGCTTTTGAATGTATTCCCCTTTAAAGTCGTGTTCCATGTGCAAACTGCCATGCATGCCATCGCTAAATATTGCTCCTCCGTTCAAAAAAAAAAAAAGGATAAAATTCTATGGATAAATTCTTGTTACATTTGTTGTCCTAGTGCTTCGCTTTTCTTTGGCTTATTTTTCATTATGTGACTGTTCCCGAGTAGTCATTTTCCCCTCCCGCCATCTCTCCCCCTGTCAGCATGGTGAAGCCCATTGTAGACAGTATCCATGTCTATGAATACATATTGATGATGCTTTGTTGCTCAGCTGTGATTCTCCCCCTTTACTAACGACCATCGGTTTCTCTCTGCAGCCACGGTGGGAAGATGGCCTCTCTGTAATGCTAATTGTTTTCTGTGCCTTGAGAGAACCAAGTGTATGTTTCTGGCAGAAATCTGTGGGCTGCCAAGTCATAAGTGCCTCCATGAATGGGGGGGAGGTCTGTAGATGCAATCATGAGCAGCTGGAAAATATACACTCCACACCAAGGGAACATTTGTACCTGTTATTTTCAGAGTGTGACGGACTAATTTTTAAAATAATTATACAAGATGCAAACACATCATTAATTGTAAAAGTCTTGCTTACATTTTTGTTTGTTCAAATTACTCTTCATTTTTGGAGAATTTTCCTCTGAAATCAACAGTGCAAGTCTTTTAATGTTGTATCTTCTCAAAAACGTAACTCACTGTTCTAATCTACACCATGAGGTAAATAGATGGTTTCAGGGATTGTGTAACACTTTGCTTTTTCTTTGAATGAAGATTGTTTGGATCAATTTGAGCAAAATATTTTAGAAGGGCAAAGAAATTTCAAGGTGCACAAATTAAAATACCATCTGGACTTATGAACTAAGTTTGTGAAACATTATCATCAATAACCTAACCATAACTCTTAGTATATCCAGATGATGTACAAGGTTTTGATAATAGAATCACATTATTCTTCAAACCTTTAAAAGAAATTACTTGCTGGTGTCTCACATTGATCCTTTGACAATGTGCTGCACCTCTTGCTTAGCACGAGCAGTGCTGTTTTGAGATTGTGTTGGTTTCTGGTTTTGTTGCGCTCCGTAGTGCACAAACACAGTCCACTGACCATGTTTGGCCTGGAGTTACCCGTTGTCCCCTTTCTCTGTTCTTTATCCAGAAAACGTCGAGGTGCGCCGAGTGCCCTTTCAGGGTCTGAGAGGATTGATGCACTGAGATACCAACGTATTAAAAAGGCCAAGAAGATGACGATGAACAACAATAACTCCAAGACCAGAAAGAAAGCAGGTGTGAACCCTGTTCCTTTTTATAAAGTAACATTTTTTAAACTTACAACATCACGATGACCTCAGGTAAAAAGCTTTTTTTTTATTCTAATATATATTCTTATGATTTGTGTTAGCTACAAATGACACATCACATGCATTTGTGATAGTATCAATACCTCTGCCAACAGAGTTAGATAGTTGTTACATTTCTTCCCCCCCGTCTGTGTGCCCGTAAACTGATGATTTTGCACAAAACACAGAAAGGTTTGAATAATAATAACCTTTCGCAGCCATTTGCCAAAGAATGGGTTTAATGTAATATAATGTTTATAATGTAATTCCAAATTGTTTTGTAAAAACCATCAATGTTGAGTGTCTGTCAGACAAAGGAGAAGCAACACTCCACTATTGACTCAATTAAACAAGACGTAGCCAGTGATTTTGCATTACAACTCCACAAAGTGGAAGAGATAGATTAAGAGAATGATGAAACTAAAAGCAGCAGAGGCCAAGCTATCCTGACTAGTGTTGTTCAAGCTTAAAAATCACTGGAACCTACATTTCTCATAATGCTACTCAGTAACATCTTTCATTAGAACCCCCTGCTTTACAAATGCCCACTTCACCTACAGTTTGTGATGCAGAAGTTCTATTGAAGATTTTGACTTTCAAACCCAAGGTAAGAAGATTACATCATTAGGTTTATTTTTTCAACCTTGAAGGTGGGAAGTTGAACTTATGTGCCATAAAGAGAACTGGATACAGTGTTAGCGGGGCCGGGCTTTGTTCATTCTTATGAAAACTGTACATTTTGCCAGAGCTTTTGTCAAATGAAGACTAAAGAGGATAATAGAGAAATATGGTGATGTACATTATAAAAACGTAATAAGTATGACATTTCCTTCAAAATCAGAATCAGGTTTATTGCCAGGTACATTTTCACATACGAGGAATTTGCCTTGATATAAATTGGTGCTTACAGTACACATGAACATAAATATAAATATAAATGTATAAAAAGTAAGGAGATCAAAAAATGTACGAGTATACAAAAATTAGAATACTATAATACAATGCCGACAAGTATGTGCAAAGATTCACAACCTGAGCATAAACCATACCAAGTAATAATGTAATAAAAGTAATAGGCTAATTTATTGAATCCAATCACATCACTTTGCAGCTCATATGAAATGCCACATAAATATCAATCATGAAGGAGGGCTGCTTGATTATGGTAAAAATCATAATCACAATTATTATTTTGAGATCACGATTTTTTAAACAGGATTTCTCATTGACTTTGGAAATTGAATGCTTCATTTTATTTATTATATGCATTACCCCAAAAATCCCAAATAGCCAATGAAATGAGAAATAGTATCCAACAACAGTGTGAACCGTTCAACGATGGTGTTCTGTCAGGGGATGCAGTGACTTGTGAAAAGTATAATATATATAGTATTAATTATATGTAAAATGTTGAACTATGAGAAGAGGAAAAGTCCGCTAGCTGCAGGCTCATTTATGCAGTGTGAGCTAATAATGGTGAGTATATGTAAATGCTCCGTACTTGTATAGCGCCTTTCTAGTCTTTTCGACCACTCAAAGCGCTTTTACACTACATCTGCATTCACCAGTCACACACATTCATACACTGAGCCTAAGTGCTCAAACGGAAACTAACATTCACACTCACTCATACACTGGCGGAATAGCCGCCAGGGGCAATTCGGGGTTCAGTATCTTGCCCAAGGACACTTCGACATGCAACCAGGGGGAGCCAGGATTGAACCGCCGACCTTCCGATTAACGGCCAACCCGCTCTACCTCCTGAGCCACAGCCGCCCGTATATCCCCTGTCATCTTAGCTCCAGATGAATTAAACATCACCGCCTGTTTGATTTGATTAATTTGATTAATTGCCCAGCCCTACCATGAAGTTTAAAATCATGAGCACATAATAACACATACATTTAATGCAGCACTTCTGAACAAAAGTAACAAAAGAGGTGTGGTGATGCTTCAGCCCCAGTCTTGAAGGCCTGCTGTAATGCCACCTGAAATCACTGTGTTTGCTGAGTAAATATTCTTCGTGTAATATTCAGTTCAGATTATTAAAGACCACTTTTAATTGGCATGTTAGGCATTTCCTATAGGGCAGATGCCCTATAGCAAAATGGCATAAATTCAAATGTAGCGGGTTTGTCAACTTAACATTCATTCTGTGAACTCTACCCCAACATAGTTTAACAAAAGGGTTGTTGTGTAAGATTAGTAATGTTGTTTACAGCTATCCAACAAAGGTTAAAATCAAGGGCAACTGGACTTGGTTGAAGATACTGGAAGACGTTTCGTCCCTCATCCAAAGGACTTCTTCAGTTCTGACTGACTGGCAGGGAAACTCAGCTATTTAACCTCAGTGGGGTCGTTGGCCCGGGTCATCGATACCGCTGGTTCGTTAGTGTTCCTTGTTGCTGTGACGACAGTCGTTACAGTCGTTAAGACTACCTGTGGCCAAGACTGAACGACCATCGTTGGTATCTTCACCTGAGGCCAATAGGTTAGGCTCCTGTCCTCTTCAATGTGTACAGCGCAGTCCAGGAAGGCCAAACTGTTGTTGTGAACATCTTCTCGTGTGAACCTGATGTTACTGTCCACAGAGTTGATGTGTTCTGTGAAGGCTTGCACTTCCTGGCTTTTAATTTTGACCCAGGTGTCGTCCACATATCTGTACCAGTGGCTCGGTGCTGTTCCTCTGAAGTAGTTGAGGGCTTTATTCTCCACTTCTTGCATGTAGATGTTTGCCACAATCGGGGATACTGGTGAGCCCATGGCACAGCCATGCTTCTGTCTGTAGAATCCACCGTTGTACTGGAAGTAGGTGGTGTTTAGACAGAGGTCGAGTAATTTGCAGATTTGGTCAGGGCTGAGGCTAGTTCTGTTGTCCAGGGTGTTGTCTTGTGTTAGCCGTTTCCTAACGGTTTCTACTGCCTCTATGGTGGGGATGCAGGTGAACAAAGAAGTCACGTCATAGGATACCATGGTTTCATCTGGATCCAGTTTTAGTCCTCGAACTTTGTTTACAAAGTCAATAGAGTTTTGGATGTGGTGAGGCGTGTTTCCCACCAATGGAGCTAAGATGGTGGAAATGTGTTTGGCAATGTTGTAGGTGACCGAGTTAATGCTGCTGATAATCGGCCTGAGTGGGGCTCCTTCTTTGTGTATCTTGGGTAGTCCATAAATGCAAGGAATGGCTTCTCCAGGATACAAACGGTAATATTGTTCACTGGTGATGGTGTTGTCCTTCTGTAACTGTTGTAGACATTCTATGGCCTTTTTCTTGTATCCGCTGGTTGGGTCTCGTCTCAGTGTCTCATACGTGTTTGTGTCCATTAGTAGTGTGTTGACTTTGTTCTGGTAGTCAGCTGTGTTAAGTACTACCGTGCATCTTCCTTTGTCAGCAGGTAGGATAGTGATGTTTTGATCTTGCTCAGAGATGTCACAGCCTTCCTTTCTTGGATGGTGAGGTTGGAAGGGGGTGCCTTCGCATTAGAAAGGGCTGCAGATACCTTTAGTCTGAGCTGTTCCGCTTCTGTTTCTGTTAATTTGTTTTGCAGATATGTTTCTAGTTTGTGGTGTATGTTGTCCATTTCTTTGTTCAGGGCTTCAATTGCGAAGTGTATCTGTCTCACTCTCTCGTTCAGTAGCTGGTGTTGTGCTTTCTCCAGGATTATTCCGGCTCTGTGTCCTTTTACTGTGGAGCCTAAGTGTAGGCTGTTCGAAATAAGTTTGTGTTGTCGGCATCTCAGGTTGAATCGTAGATGGTTCCTGTAGTCTGCAATTTTCCTGGCTGTCCTTTCATACTCCCGTACCAATCTAAGAGTGTTCATCCCAAAGTGATAAGCAAGATGTCTATGAAGACTCAACAAACGTAACCTATTGGCCTCAGGTGAAGATACCAACGATGGTCGTTCAGTCTTGGCCACAGGTAGTCTTAACGACTGTAACGACTGTAACGACTGTTGTCACAGCAACAAGGAACACTAGCGAACCAGCGGTATCGATGACCCGGGCCAACAACCCCACTGAGGTTAAATAGCTGAGTTTCCCTGCCAGTCAGTCAGAACTGAAGAAGTCCTTTGGATGAGGGACGAAACGTCTTCCAGTATCTTCAACCAAGTCCAGTTGCCCTTGATTTTAACCTTTGTTGGATAACTATGACCTGGATGACTGAGAATCTTCATAGACGTTGTTTACAGCTAATTCCTACCCTACTTATGCCATTTGACTTAAAAATAATTTGCCTCTTTTTTTAGGTACCAGGAGTGAAAAATAGTCATCCTCAATATTTCTTGTGTTATAGATTCAGAATGATGAAGACAGTTGCAGATCCGATATAAAATAGGATGTGTGCTCTACAGGATGATTTTCCTGGAGTATCTTGTTTTCCCCAAATGATTTTTAGGCATTCTATTATCTTAAATGGCTTGAAAATATGCTGTAAATGTGAGCATGCCCATAGACCCCCGTAGTTTGGGTTAAGCCTGGGTTATGGTTACAACATCCGCCTCTGCAACTCCTTGTAAACTGAACTTCATGAGAGTGCAGTGGCAGGTGTGGACCCAAACGCAGACAATGGCGAGAAGGTTGCAGTTCAAAATATTTATTAACACAAAAACTTATGCTTGGAGGTTTGCACAGACCTCCACGTGCCTGCCAACGGTCCCGTGACTCCTGTTAGGTACCGTGATGAAATCCTCAGAACCGTTGTCAGATGGGGTCCTGAGTTACTCCTGGTTTAGGACAATGCCCGGCCTCATGTGGCCAGAATGTGTAGGCAGTGCCTGGATGACAGAGGCATTGATGCCATTGACTGGCCCTCATGTTCCTCAGACCTGAATCCAATTGAGAACCTCTTGGACGTTATTGATCAGTGCTTCTGAGGCTGCCAAGTAGCACCACAGACTGTCCAGGAGCTCACTGAAGCACTGATCCAGGTCTGACAGGAGACCCCCCAGGACACGAACTGACATCTCATCAGGAGCATGTTGTTGGGTGTGCATGCAGGCATGTAGTGACACTGCTGAGTCACGTTATGAGTTGCCGTCGCGAAAGTCACGCAGGTTATATCAGCCTGTTATTTGAATTTTTTACTTTGATTTTTGGTGTGATTTTGAGTCCAGCCCTCAATTGGTTTGTGATTTTCAATTTCATTGACTGTTGTTAGGTCATTTTGTTCTCAACAAATGATACAATATACAGTAAAGATTTTGAACTTCCAACAATTTTGTTTTAGATCTGATGTGTCATTTAAATGTTCCCTAAAATGTTCCCATCAAGTCCTGCCTATAGTCGACTGATAGTCGAATCATGTGTGTTTTTGTGTGCGGCGATTGCAAGTGTGTGTGTGTGGGGGGGGGGGTTGTTACACACGGTAGCTCTTTAGTCTTGAGAAGCTGCAGTAAACAGTAAATTTCCAGCTAAACTGAGGCTTTTTGAAGACCCCTTTTTTTTTCTCTCTCTCTCTCTCGCCTGTCACTCACCGGCCTAGTGCAGAGTTTTGCGTGCATGCCATGATGCCGACAACTACATGCATGTCGCGGTTCCTCGCGGGTCTATTTGAAGTAGCCGGCTATTTAAAAACGATAAAATATTCTTTGCGTGGTTCATCAACAGGGATAAATTATCCGAAAGTCCTGCGAGGTGCGGCACAACACCAGTGAAGCCAGGGCTCTTCAGCAAGTGTTCTCTACGCCTACACATGCGCACTGTCGACCCAGGGTTACGGTTACAATTTTGGATTTATTTACACACTTTAAAAACATTTATTGAAAGTTTTATTCTTTTTACATGTTTATTTACAGCATTAAACGTTGAAATGTATATTGTAACAGGCTGTATATTAACTTAATGGTAGAAAACTAGTAGTTCTATGTAAAATCAGACGTTGAGCACCCCCATATCGCCAAAATGGCACGATCCTTGTTTCACTGCGAAGCTTCGACTGTGAGATTAACAGTTGAATCAGTCTTTGCCCATGGAAGCATCGAATCTTCGACTATTGGGGGTCAGCCCTAATACATACACTCACCTAAAGGATTATTAGGAACACCATACTAATACTGTGTTTGACCCACTTTCGCCTTCAGAACTGCCTTAATTCTACGTGGCATTGATTCAACAAGGTGCTGAAAGCATTCTTTAGAAATGTTGGCCCATATTGATGGATAGCATCTTGCAGTTGATGGAGATTTGTGGGATGCACATCCAGGGCACGAAGCTCCCGTTCCACCACATCCCAAAGATGCTCTATTGGGTTGAGATCTGGTGACTGTGGGGGCCATTTTAGTAAAGTGAACTCATTGTCATGTTCAAGAAACCAATTTGAAATGATTGGAGCTTTGTGACATGGTGCATTATCCTGCTGGAAGTAGCCATCAGAGGATGGGTGGTTATTTCAGTCAAAGTTGCTCTTCTATCAGCTTGAATCAGTCGGCCCATTCTCCTCTGACCTCTAGCATCAACAAGGCATTTTCGCCCACAGGACTGACACATACTGGATGTTTTTCCCTTTTCACACCATTCTTTGTAAACCCTAGAAATGGTTGTGCGTGAAAATCCCAGTAACTGAGCAGATTGTAAAATACTCAGACCGGCCAGTCTGGCACCAACAACCATGCCACGCTCAAAATTGCTTAAATCACGTTTCTTTCCCATTCTGACATTCAGTTTGGAGTTCAGGAGATTGTCTTGACCAGGACCACACCCCTAAATGCATTGAAGCAACTGCCATGTGATTGGTTGATTAGATAATTGCATTAATGAGAAATTGAACAGGTGTTCCCAATAATCCTTTAGGTGAGTGTGTGTATATATATATATATATATATATATATAAGGCCATAAGAAGACTGCCAAGACCCTGAAACTGACCTGCAGCAGGGTGGCCAAGACTATACATGGTCTGGGGCTGCATGAGTGCTGCCGGCACTGGGATGCTACAGTTCACTGAGGGAACCATGAATGCCAACATGTACTGTGACATACTGAAGCAGAGCATGAACCCCTCCCTTTGGAGACAGGGCAGTGTTCCAACATGATAACAACCCCAAACGCACCTCCAAGACGACCACTGCCTCGCTAAAGAAGCTGAGGGTAAAGGTGATGGACTGGCCAAGCAGGGCTCCAGACCTAAACCCTATTGAGCATCTGTGGGGAATCCTCAAATGGAAGGTGGAGGAGCGCAAGGTCTCTAACATCCACCAGCTCCGTGATGTCGTCATGGAGGAGTGGAAGAGGACTCCAGTGGCAACCTGTGAAGCTCTGGTGAACTCCATGCCCGAGAGGGTTAAGGCTGGGAAATAATGGTAGCCTTAGGGGTGCCCTCATTTTTGTTGCCAGCGGTTTAGACATTAATGGCTGTGTGATGTGTTATTTTAAGAGGAATGCTAATTTACACTATTATACAAGCTGTACACTCACTACTTTATATTCTAGCAAAGTGTCATTTCTTCAGTGTTGTCACATGAAAAGATATAATCACATATTTACAGAAATGTGAGTGGTGTACACACTTTTATGAGTTACTGTATATAACATCAAACGCTGTCAACATATAAGAAGTGTAGAAGTGCATCAAAATAAGCAATATATATGTATTAAATATTTTGATACATTTCTTTTATGTTGTGATTGAAGTTTCAAATGAAACAGTATGTTTATAGTGACATAAATATTATGCCATACATCTACCAGTCCCATTCTTTAAAGTATAGCATATGTGTTCAGTAGGGTTCTGGGTTTAACACACATGTATCAATTACTTGTTGAGTTGCAATTGGCTCAGGAGGTAGAGCGGATTGCCAGTTAATCAGAAGGTCGGTTGTTCAATCCCTGGCTCCTCCAGGCTGCGTGTCGAAGTGTCCTTGGGCAAGATACTGAACCCTGAATTGCCCCTGGCGGCTGTTCCACCGGTGTTTGAATGTGTGTGAGTGTTAGTTTCAGCATTTACATTTGACTACATGATGTGCTAGTGGGATTATTGTGCAGAATTGCCTGTAAACTTTGCCGGTGGCAATGACCTACCTTTTATCTCCCTTCCACCAGGTGTCTCCACCTCTCAGACCCAGCAGGCCTACACCTCTCAGGTACTCCAGCCCGAAGAAGCTCTCTACCTCCGCAAGAAGAAGAAACGGCCCATCCTCCATGACCCATATACTCGCTTTTCTGCTCTGCTGTACCGCCGAACACCCCGGGAGGACCAGAAGGCTATTTTGGCCAGCATGGACAACATAGACCTAGACCATGCCACCCTTCTCTAAAACATGCAATATGCCCCCATTCCAAAATGACACTAGCTACACACCAGATAGAAAAAATAACACTCAATTAAAGATATTTATTAAGGGTAATGGCACTAAATTTCAGCATTCACATTTATAGTGTAGCTACACCCTTGGTCAGTTCAATCTGCAGTAGTAAGCATTCTGCCATGTTCATGAGCTAATCTGTGATGACAAGAAATGTTTTTAGAAGAATCCAAAATCAGAAAAACCCACAACAACTTTTTTTTCCAGTAAAAAAGTCCAGATTAATGTTTGTGTCTAAAATCTGGTCCCAACATACTGTCACCGTCAGTGAATAGCAGCAGCGGTGATTGGTATGGCATCACCGAGTCTTGGTTCTAAGGCTTTCCCTCTGAAATGTTTTTTTAAAGTTATTTTTCCAACTACTCATTGGGATGCCCAAATGCACAACAACGATCTGTGTATGCTTAAATCAAGTAGTATTCCCTTTAAAAAATGTATTTAGACTTTTAGCAATTCAAATCAAAATGATAGCTGCCACAGTTTTGCAAAGTTTTACTCCAGTGCAAAAAGATTAATGCAAAAAGAGCCAATACATGATTACCAGCTCCCACTTTTTTCTAATAAAAAAAAACCCAGGTTTCCTACTCTAGTGTTCTACTCTAGTGCTTCTCCAGGCTTGGGTCATGTTTCTTGTGCCGAGCCAATCCCCCCCATAAAAGCCCTGTGGGTCTCCGTTTACAGCACCTTCCACGGGATCCTCTCCGCCAGCAACGTCTCTTATCTGCCGAGAAACTCGCCTCACAAATGTGGGTGTTCTCACTCCCTACCAAGTATACCTCAGAGCACAGGACACGAGACCACACCACCACCAGGATCAGCAGCAAAACAAACTAGCCTTTTTCATCTCTGTAGTCATTATTGTACTTGCTTTTTTTATAATGATATGTTCTAGTTTTCCATTCTAATATGTACTTCTTTAATTTGTCTTTAAATGATAATTCTGTCACATAAGTGAAGAAATTCACCGTCAGTCATTTCCTCATCTTTTCTGCTCTGTAAATGATCAGGACGAGAACCCTGAACTACTTTACTTGGCCTACAAAATGAATTATTAATTAACTTTCACTAAATGTAATTTCTTATTGAATGGATGTCATTCAGTAGTAAATCACACAGGGTTTCACCAGGGGCTTACTGGGACATTTGCATTTCACACACTTGACACAAACCATTAACAGGCACAATGAACAGTGGTAATAACTTTCAGTTATTCTATATAAAGTAATTTAATTGCTCCAATTAACCACTCTGCCTTTAGCTTATCATAACTCATCAGTTTGCACTGGAGCAAAATCTTGTCCATTTCCTTTGTGTACATCTCCTCCAGTTCTTCTACTTTAGGTAGTGTAGAGGGTTTAAAATCCTATTCAGAAAGAACAATAGTTATGCCAAAAACAATTTAAATTTAAATTCAATACAATGATGTGTAGTGGAGGATAAGATTTTGTGCCATAGTAGGCTATATGATAGTATTTATACATATTAGAAGGCATAAAAAACAATATCTTTGTTTGGCCTTAATGGAGCTTCTGGGTGGTTGCCTGCTTCGCTTGTGTCTAATTTATATTTCTGTTTGATTTTTTTATTTGCATGTTTGTGTGTGTGTGTGTATGTATGTACCTGCCTCTTTTGGTCATTTTCTATTCATAGCCTTTTGTCTCTTTTGTCTTGTCATATGAAATGGAAATGCTGAGAGTACAGTCATACCTAAAGAAAATAGTATGTGGCATTGAAGGCAACACAAAGTGAGCCAAAAGTTTTAGTTGTTTACATGTTTCTCAGTTTTACTTTGAAAAATTCCAGTGATTGAGATGATTAAATCTGCCTGTCTAACTGACCTGGACATGTGGATACTAATGAGCTAAATTAATTTTATTGGATATGTAAAGGAAGTGCCATAACATCAGAAACTCACCTCTCATATTACACATGCTGTAGCTCAGTCATATTTTAGATTCAACAAAGAGTGAGTGTGTACTCCCAACAGCTCAAACTTTTGTTGCTGTTCATTTATTTATTTTTCAGTTTTGCTGAAAAGGTGCTCAGTTTCTCTAGCAGATATATTCACTTGTAGATGTTGCGGTAACATATCTTGAGCTCCTAATACAACATCAAAGCAGTGTCCATGTTCTGCTGAATTGTGTTTGGAGTGGTATTGCTCAGAGGTATGTTAAGTGGTGATGTGCAGATTTTATGTATGTATTTATTTGTGTAATGTTATATTGTGATTTTGAGCAGATTCTGACACAGCTGCAACTCCAACATAGTCTTCTAAATCAACCACATTTTAAGTGAATAAATTCCATTGCTTTATTAAGATATTTCCACAATAAATTCTTGCAGAAAGAGCAGTGTCAAGGTTTCAGAAATGCTGCTCTGACTTCTCTCATTTTTTGGTTTTCAAATTAATGTGGAGTGAAAAGGCGATGTTTTTTCATGTACATCTATTTAATATAAATATTTATAAGTCTCCTGAGAGCAATGATCATACATGAATAGGCAAGCAAAAATTATTTTAAAGAGAAGTGTCTTAACTCACGACCATATCCAGTACACTGGGGAAAAAAGGTCCATTTATGCATCATACAGATGCAGGTTGCTTTAGTTTAGTAATTTTATTAAAGAAGCTAGTGCCTTTATTTATGATGGGATTATTATGTGTACAAGTTTGTCTGCAACTACTGTATCAATATGATGATTTATTGTGGAAATAACTTTGAAATAAACGTATTATTACCATGCAGAACTTCAGTGAAACCACAGTCTCCACTTCCAAAGATAACAGAGTCAGCATGAATAATTTCAGTGAGAATGAAGTGGCATGAAAATGCACATAGACCACGAAAATCACTGATCATTGATGGATTCCCTACCACAACAAACAACAAAAACATATTAATGAGAGCTACTGTCCACCTCTGTGAATGTGGTGGTAATTAAAGACTTCACAGACAATACTTTTGTTAACCAAGATAAAAGAGAAAGGAACTGCCATGTGACCAAGATTGTTTTTACGTTCTTTCTAAGGCTCTGACTGATTGTAGTGACTGAAATGTATCAGTGAAGAAGTCATCTCATCATAGGTGCTTGAGCAGTGGTGTCAAACAGAGGCTCTTCTCACAGCCTAAGGTGCTAAGGAAATCATAAAGTGATGCTGTACTAATGTTTGATCCTTCCATATAATTGAATACAAATGCCACTTTCATTTTCACAACTGTTACTGTTGTATTGTTGTATTTTTGGAACTTTTTATATAAAGAAATGAGAAAAGGCTGCTCTGCTGCCTTTGTTTAAAATAATCTGTGGTTAGAAGGTGCTTGTTGGAGTGGTGGTTGGATTCAAAATCGCACTGACAGAGAAACAAGGACCTCTTCTTCGATATTATGGCATATTTAAATAGAGATATTTTAAAAAACTGCAGACGCTCTGATGCATAATGTTCTACAAATCAAATGTCTAATTGTTGCTGTTATAATGTGTTATCATTGTTTTTATGCCATTTATAGAAAGGTATTTGTTACATAGAAGAAGAAGAGTACCATAGTTTCCTTTTAAAATAACATTTTGGTTTATTGAATGTTTCACTGCAGATGTTCTGATGTTTGTGTTGCTGTGTGTCCTCTTAGCAGAGCTCTGGAGAGAATTCATTGAATGAATGAAGGCACTAGGTTTGTTTTGTTGAAAAACTTCGGCAATGTACTTTCTAGGCCTGCATGAGCGAGGGGACTGAAGTCATTGCATATAACAGTGTCTGAAAAGACAAGGCAAACACTAGGGACAGTGTGCTTGCCATCAATTAACAATGAATTCCCCAATTAGGACTATAATGATTTAGTCTTAAACATTGCTAAGAAATAAGCAAGATATTAATGTTAGCTAAGTATGGGAATCTGACATGCCCTAATATTGGCAGAGCATTTCTAACAAATTCTTACAAAACAATCACTATTTCCTATCAATAATATAAGGTTTAAGAATGGAATCAATATTAGTTATCAGTCATAGAAAAGTCCTGCAACTTCCTTTAAAACATTTAAATCAAGAATTTAAAACAACGCTAAATCTTTTAACAATAATGATAGCGTGTAATGTACATACTGTACTGTACCAACATATTGTCCCATTATATTGTTCTGTTGATAAATTAATTCATTGCATACATTGTATCTGCTAAATCAAAACTGCTGCATACACTGAACATATTGTTCGATGTTGTAATTATCCTATATTTTAAAGGAAACCAAAACACTGACAGATGAAATTTGTTGATATAATTAGTCTGTTTATTGTAAAATGTAAAATAAGAAATTACATAATAAATTAAAATTGGTCAATAATATGCATGCAGCTACAGAAATTAATCTAAAATATATTCACTTTTTTCAATATGGAAAAAGTTTTATGTAGATGCTGCTGTGACTGTTTGAGAGTGAAGTCAGAGAACTTAAAAATAGTAATGGAAATAAAGAGCATGAGCCTATACATCACCTCCAAATTGCATTGGATTAACCACATCCAAAATGATAAACTAACTCAACTAAAGCACTGAAATGTGCATTGCTCCATACATAGTGAAGGTTCAGTGGTATGATATTGTTTTTATATGTTTTGATTGAAACTTCAGTAGACCAACTTAGAGAAAACCCTGGAAATTCAAAAGACAGCTCTTCAAACCAATGGTGGTGGGAAATTGTGTGACTGTGCAGTTATTTCATCACCAAGGGCTTTAATGAGACTTAGTGAAGTAAAGAGTTTGGGAGCTGGATGGGTGAGACATCTTAATAAGCCTGAGGGAGGTCCAATCCTTCCAAAAAAGTACTGTATACCTCTTAATGTGCCACTGAGAAATATGTCCATGTACATAGTGTATAGTAAAAGATATTACTTGCATGGTATAAACATTTGAATGCTACTGACAAAAATGGGGGATCAACACTGGGTAGCTGTTATGTATAAGAAAAGCGTGACAGTGATCTGTTTAGTCCCGAATTTTGAAGCAAAAGACAATGAAACATGCTGTCCTTAACTGAAAGTAGGTAGTAAGACTTTTAAATGGACTACAAAATACTGTGGTGCATGGGTAAAAAACAAACAGTTCAGTAAAACAACCTAGTGTGCTGGCAGACACAATCCTAATGTTACTCTTGACAAATAATGCTGGTGTACTCTTGTTCTGGCTAATAAGGAAACTTTTAGGTTCAAATTTTCAAATTCCACCCTTCAGGCAGTTTTGCCACAGTAGCGTTGAGATGCAATAATAGCACATGCCATGAGGTTAGATAAGTTCAGTGGATTTGAAGCCGTTAAAACACCCAGAATTGTTTGTAGATAATTTGGTAATTAGGGCAGGTAGATTTGCTCTTTACCACTTCTGTGATGTCTATCAATTGATATTTTTTATAGTACATTAGTTGAACATTACCTCACTAACTGTAGTCTGGAGTGAAAAGAAACAAGTCCATTGTGATGCTCTTTTTATAAAATGCAGTCTCTGATTCACACATGTACTGTAACTTTGTCACGAGCCCCTAATAGTGCAACACATTTTGAAATAACAGTTATAATTTGCAGTTGATGGTACAGTACAGGACTCAAATCCAAATAGCACAGAATTAGTTATGTTTGTGGCGTCTGAAGAAAAAACGAACTATTTTTCTCATTAAAAGACTATTTGTAAAGAAAATCTCAGTACTGTATCACTCTTGACTCTCAAGCTGAGGAGAAACTATAGTCTGGCTTCGGTGTCATTTCGCTCTGGCTTTACATATTTTAAGATGCATAAAGAGAGACATATCGTATTGTTGACTTTTATCCCATATGCTAAGAATAGAGAATCTCTGGTGCTAACACATGCCAGGCAAGTCAAAAGGTTTTGCTGCTTTTTTACTTATTGGACCATATTTAGTTGCTCTTGAAATGCATTCATTGCAGTTCACCCAACACCTAAAACTTTCATATCGTTTTCCTTATATAAAAAAAACAAACAAAAGAAAATCAAGCAAATTTGAGCCCAAATTACATTACATCACATTTAAATTTATTCATTTGACAGACGCTTTTATCCAAAGTGACTTACATTTAAGGAATAACATACAAGCATCAACACAGCATCAATACAGTAAACTAGCAATTTATATGTGTTGTCATATAAAGTTTGATCATATCATTTGGATTCCTGTAAATAATTAGACATACTGGTATTTTGACTCATGGTCAGAAGTGACATACTGCTCCCAATATTATCTTAACATTTTGGCCTTGAACTGCAGATTCATTCAATGATATAGTGCAGTGTAACACATCACAAATGACTGCTCTGTCTTTCAAATGAAACAGCTCATAGGCCAGTAAAATGTTGCAATTAACTTCCTTTATAATAAAAGTAGAAGTCCAAGCATAGGTTACATAATCATATTTTCACCTATCAGACTTTAAAAGACTTTCAGTGGGTATTTTCTTTATTGTCAAGAACATTGTTTAAAAGAATAATGGATATTATAGTAAATACCTCCTCCAGGAACTATAGGCAGAATCACAGGCAAAATGCTTGCTAAACCGAAACAATTGCTAATTACAGAAATATTATCTCTTACTGACAGGAAAGAGTCATTGAGATAGATAACTTCTTCTAAATTAAACTTTAAACAAAGCAAAGCTAATATAGCTAAGCTCATTTAATATGAGTCTGTGTGTAATGCAAAACACTGCAGATACTTGCCATCAGTGTATCGATAAAACAACTTTTGTCCAGTCTCGAGTGAACAAAAAGGCATTACAGATTTCAAATTTGAAAAAAAAAAAAGTTTCTTTACACCGTGTAAATAATATCTCAAGTAAGCATACCTTGTCTTATATATTTTTTTGTAGAAGAAAATATGATGCACTTCAACTATATTGAAGACTGAGTGGGAACCGTGTAGTGTAGGGTCTGCTTCAGTGACACATTATAACATGATGTAACAGACCAATGTCTACAGTATATGTGAGTGATGGAAATCTTCTAAATGCTAGAAATTAGTTTAAGAATTTGATATTATAGAGCCAGGAAATATAGAGACAGTATATCGTCATGGAACCAAAATGGTTATATGAGTATATATTTGCAGACAGTACTTGTTCAAGAATGTAAGAATATATTCTATTATTTTTATATCAATGTGTTGCTTTATACTGTAGCAATGCAGAATCTTACACAAAGAAGATAAATATGACGTCCGTCTGAGGTTTTCAGTTGTGTACAAAACAAAAGAGAATGGTGCACCAAAATGGCTGTCACTGTACTGTATATCTCACTGTCTATTACTCAGAGACTCTCAGAGAAAGATACAGCAAACTAGTTATTATAGCAACGTTCATTGGTGTGAATAGCAAATGTAATTGTTAAATTATTTGTGGGCCATCATCGCTTATCATTTGTTCTTTTGAGGACAGTGATTTAGCTCCTCGCTAGTTTTTTCTTTTTGGTTGATTACCCAGCTGGCTTCTGCAGTCACGCATTCATCTTTTTGAAATATTTTTTGGCATGAAAGAATGGAATCATTAGTGCTCTCTTGCAATCTGTATCACTGCAGAGCACATAAATATAAATGTATAATCATCTAATTCAAAAACTGTGCAGATAGAAATGTTTCACAGTGTGTATTTACAGTATGTATGTAACGGACACAGTGCTTCATGATGCTGCTTTGAACTGACATAAGGGGATCCAAAATGTTTGCTTTTGGTTATAAACACAAGCATGTGCAAGTTAACACGATGAACGCTCAAAAGGGGAGGTTGAGCATTGCAGCAGCTGCTAAAAGTTACTCCAGACATTGGAAACATTGAATTCAGTGCTGTACATTGCCAAAAACACGCCATATACATTCTGACAACTGGTGCTATTTAAAAAACATCTGTGGTGCTTTTTTAAGTTAGTTATTTCCTTGCTTCAGACAAAATGTAGCTACACAATCCTGTACTGTACTGTAGGTTGCTGTTTGGCCAGTAAGTCATCATTTTACCTGGTTGGGTCATGTGTGTAGATGGTTTTCTTTGGCTGCTGTTGTTTCAGGGAATATGCAGATCAGATAGGACTAACATTTTGAGTGGCAAATTTTAAAGCAAGGAAATTTAATAGGACATTCATTTGAATACACGTGTCATAATGATTTTCTTGAGATTGAGTTTACAATTTTCTTGTTAATTTTGGTCTGAACTTCACAGTGCTTCAAAGTCTAATGTATTGGTGGTTGCAAATAGTATCCACACATTGTGTTTGGTGCTGAGTGAACAGATATGCTCACCATGACTTTTTATACGGTATTCATCTTAAACATTCAAATCCCTCTATTGTCTTTCTATCAGGTCAAGTAAACATATTAACTCCCCCTACAGGTACCCTTTTATTGTACAGTGTAGACAACATCAACATGGTGTGACAGGAGGAGGTGAAATTAAGACTTCCACTCACCTTTAAGTCAATAGAACTGGTTCTTCAGCAACAGACCCCAAAACCCTCATTAGATAAAGGTTGTTGCTTACAAGGGACCTGTAGTGTTACTATGTTTGAAAGACCAGACTAGAGAAAGCATCAGAATATTGTCTTATAAAGATGCTGTTTAAAACTAGTTTAAAAAGTTTGCTGCGAACACTCAACTCAACTTTTTGGAGCCTCTATACATGCAAACTTGTACAAGTTTTCAAGTACAAGTTACATGAAGCTGATTATCTCTTTTCTTTTGATTTAATCACAAAATGCAATACAAGTGGAAGAAGAACAAACTGAACTCATTGTCTCCTCTTAATTGTTCGGTCTTCCTGAGATGCGTAGAACTGGTTTGAGTTACTGTTCTTTGTTATCATGACCTTCTGAAAAACAAGAACGTGTGAGTGTGTTCAATCTTAGTTACAGGCGTAGACAACTCAGTACCTCAAAATGTCTCTTCATGGAAATCTCTAGTCCAGAAATGTAACTACAGTTACGACAGTTTTTTATGTTCACCATTTCTGACAAGTCAGTGCTCATTATGCTTTTTATATTTGTTGGCACAAACACTAAAAAGAATGTATGGCTATTGTAATTCCTGCTCACCCCCACTCTTCCTAAAAATTGAAGCTTTTAAAGCAACTAAATTGAACTGTCAGTTTTTTGTATTTCAAATGTCTTGGTATGCTTGTTGTAGTTGTATATTCATAATGGTGTATATTACATCAGTTTTTATTTATTAAAATGTTTAAATTTTCTAAGATGACTTTTCCTGTTATTCAGAAAAGTGGTCATTATATTTTTTAAGCACTTATATTTAAAGATGAAGAGTTATTTCATAAGCATTTTGTTTAAGCACCATATCAGTATTTTCCCTACTGTTTCAAGCAGCTATTGATCTCCATTAATTACATTTCTGTATATATAAAATAAATGAGCAGATTGCATTGCACATTGCATAGGAATAATGTAACTATAACAAAAACATCAACTAATTGATTAAAATATCTAAAACATAACATCATGATCCAATTAGAACTATTGTGTGATAAAGCATGCAAAACCATTGATATGGTGCTTTTAAAGCAATGTCCATCAACATTTAGGTTAGTGAAAAAATGAGGTAGCCTACTGTTAGGAACATGAATTTCTAACTTCTCATCTAGCTAGCGTCACCACCAGGTCAACATTTCAGTTTGTCCCAATGATATGATCAATACTGTAGTTTATGACCAAATACCTGCAGAACATCTGATATTCCCATCAGCCTCAGCTGGATATTGGGTTTAGTGCTACTTAGCAAATATTAGCATGCTAAACCTGATAAACACTGTGCTAAACATGCTGACATCACAGCAGAGCTGCTCATAAGTTTTGCCTCTCAGAACTGCTAGCATGGCTGCAAACTCTTGTTTTTATCTTGTTTGTAGTGATACAGTACTACTGGTAAAAAGGGTAAAAGTTTAGCTGGCTATTATAAAGAAAAAAGTTATTAATCAGAAGTGTATGGTATACAGTAAATATACTATATTTTTGGTACAGCACAGCAGACTGACAGAATTAATGCTGAGAGAATAAAATGGAAATTGTGGGCCCCGCACTCCTTCCTACCATTGCTATTAGGTATTAAGGTATTATCTTGTTTGCCCATTGTCCTCCAAAAACTGTGCCTTGGACCTGACATGACATGCTGGCTCACAGCCATTGCCAACAAAATGGTATTATGTTGATACATTTATGTTAAATGTCAAAAGTTTTTATTCTAAATGTGGGTCTTGTGTTGCCCTGCTCCTGTAGTCATGTCCTGTAGGCTAAGTTATCCCTTTCCAAATGAATGAATGAAATTATAATTTTCTGGAGAATGTCCTTGGTAGGAGGACTTTGTAAGACTGGTTCCACACAGTATTTTAGCTAAAAGTACATTGTTACTTCTTCCGCAATGCATGTTGTTCCAGTACCACTTTTAACCCTGCAAACAAGCGGCTCCTTCTCTCGCGAGATCAGCGGTTGCTTAGCAACCGACGTCAACAGCGCTTGATAAAGCTAACACCAGCGCTACGCTATCTAAGGAGTCACGAAGTTACATTGACTTTTCAATTCATATAATGGAGGTAAGTGCTCTTCTAAGGCTTTTCTCTCTAAATGTTTACAGGGCAACGTAAAGTTGATGTTGTTTTGCATTATATATTCAACACACCGCTGGTTAAAATGTGGCAAGTTATTGTCAGCAAAATACGCGTAAGTTAACTTAACTGTTAGTTGAAAGTTTCTAACGTAACGTTATATAGGCTAACGTTAACGTTAGACTGCGTGGAAATAAACTATTAGCATGTTCGCTTACGTTATTTTCACTACTGTGCAAATCTGTACCTGTAATCTGTATTCACTTAACCTACTGTAAGTTAAATTGTGAAATACAAAGGCAAAGCCTGAAAATTACCACTAGATTAAGAGTTATGTAAGTTTAGTAACTTCGGGTGTAACATTAATAACTGACACATAACCTGTCTGTTATTTATATTTGGAATCCCCCTTTTCACTGGGACAGGTCTGGGGAGCAGGTCCAGCCTGTTCAGCCCAATCTCACTCCCAGCCTTCACACATATTCACCTGCAGTCTGTGGCTTTGCTGTATTTCCAGGAGACAGGACCAGTAAGAGAGGACATGTTTGAGTGCTTGGAGGAGTTCCAGGTGGTCCTCAATGAGCTTGTTGGGGACAAGAGTATGGACAAGGTCCGGGTGGAGTACGAGAAGCTCATCCATGCACTGAAGAAGGCCAGAGAGAATGAGAAGAGGCTAATGTCCAAATGCAGAGAGCTGAATGCAGAGATTGTGTCCACCTCAACTAAAGTTGCAGCTGCCCTGAAACTGTCCCAGGAAGATGAGACAACAATTACTTCACTAAAAAGGGTAAATTATTTATTTGTATGTGGTTGTTTTTTATGCCCCTTTTTTGGCATCATTTGAAACATAGAGGTTTTGTTATTTGGGTGATGTTTTATCATTTGTCCATCAGATTCAATTAACTCAACAATGTTTTGCAAAACAATTCTTTTGCTTTCACTGTAGGAGCTGGATAAAGCTTGGAAAATGGTAGATGCTGCTCATGATAAAGAGAAGAAGGACAAAGAGACCATCAGGAATTTAAAAGAAGAAGTTTCCAACCTAATCAAAATGGCTGAACAGAAAACTGGCTTCTCTAAGGACCAGGAGCAGAGGTGATTTGTCCTCCTCCTCATGCGCTAATGATGTATTGTGTGGATACTGTAGATAAAGTGGATGGAACCAACTGTAATCAGTTTTTTCAGTGATCTACTAAAAATGAATGAGGAGTTGACCAAGGAGAGAGATCAGCTGCTGATAACCATGGAGGGTCTGAGAGAAAAACTAAACAAGGCCGTCATAACCCAGCAGGAGATAGAGGCCCAACGAGATAGTGCCTTAGAAAATATATCACAGGTAACTAAGTTAAACCGTTGGACTGCTAAATGCAAACTTTTGTGCCAAAGCAATACAATAACCAGAAATAGGAAATAAAATGCAATTAAATCTGGAGCTGATGCCAACGTGTTGCTGCTCTGTATGTCTAAATGCAGCTCCAGCAGGAGTTCCAGGTACAGCAGAACGAGATTTCCCGGGAGATGAGGTTGAAGGAAAAGCTGGACAAGGAGGTGAAAGAGCTGCACACCAACATAGAGGCCAAGATGGGGGAAATCAAAGCTCTGAATCTGCAGGGCCAAAAGGCCAAAGAGGAGCAGCAGAGACTGGAGCAGCAGCTGAAAGAGCTCAAGGTGAGCAATGGACTGGGACACTTAAGCTGATGATACACAGAGCAACTTTTAGAGCAATCGTGCAGGGCAACGTTGTCGTCAGTGTTAATGAGTAAAGATTACTACCGTAATCCCTTTACCCCACCACTCCGCCACCCGCCCCGCTGCTATCTGTTCAAAACATAGTCGGACTTGCCACTAGCAAGATTGCTCAGAAAGTTGCCCCGTGTATCATCAGCTTTAATGGTGTAGTGTTTAGAAAGCTCACTGCTATATTTTAGAAAAATAGATGATTGAAGGATATACAGTATATATACATATTTGTTTTCTTTATCCAAAATGTAACAGTTTATTTATACATATGTATAACATTTGTGTATATATATGTATATGTATGTATGTATTTAAAAAAGGCCTGGGATTTTGAAGGTTCTGCGCAGTATCTTAGTTGTTCTTTGAGGATATATATATATATATATATATATATATATATATACACAAAAATAGTAGTTATAGCTTAGTTATATGTAGTTTTATTATCTTTTGGATTGAATTGCATATATTGGAAGTTCTTTATGATATTAAGTTTACATAGTACAGCAGGGAAGCTACTAGGTATACAAAAAACACTATGTCTGTTATTGTCAGTGTATATTTTATTATAACATTGTCAAACCAGTGTCCATGGAATTGTGTGTTTAATAAACAGAATTTCATTACACACCTCATCCCTTCTCTGACTGTGACAGATCTTGAATGAGCGATCCACCAAGGAGCTGGAGCAGATGCAAGTGAAGAACACCAAGCTGCAGCAGGAGTGTGAGCAGCTCTCATCACTCAAAGAACGTCTCTCTTTGGAAAATCAGCAGAACACAAATGAACTCAAGGTACAGGTTGATCCACTGATACACATACACACCTGAGCAACAGAGACAGACTTCCACCTCTCAAATAAACCTGTACTGTATATATAGATATACTGTATAGATGCGGGATTGGTTGTGTATGTTAGCAGTGTTTGCGTGTGCCTGTCCATGCATGCTTTTGAATGTGAATGGGATACAGTGATAAAGTAACAGAACTGATAGTGAGTTCACACTGTTTATGAGAGGTACTGTATATGTACATTTTAACCCTGATTGCTAAGTCACACAACATGGAGTTCTTCCAGAGCTGCTTTTCCACTCATCCTTAGGTAGGCAGGTTTCTAGTGCGAGTTCCTTAGGAAAAAAAGGTCAGAGTTATATTTATTTAGATTTTTTTAGACAAGAATGAATAATATTTGACATTTTCCTAATGATAATCCCCTTGTGGAAACCAAAACACTGTACAGTATAGTGAAAAAAAGGTATATATAAAAAGGTTACTCCTCACTGATCTATACATACATGAAGTAGCTGAAGTTGGACGGTCCTGAAAGTGATTATTTAACATGCAGCATACAGTGACTAAATCAGAGTAGAGGTAAAGCTGTGTAAGCATTACTCGGCTTACCTTCAGAAATATTTTTTTTCTCTGATTCTCTAAAGAAAAGTCATGTGACTAGCACTTTTCTTAGTATTCTCTCAAATCTGCAGTAGTGGAGGATACTTGAGACTGGATGATGGTGTGATTCTGTCCTGTTGAACCACATGGGGGCACTGCCCTGACAGTACGTTATGTAATGAGCAAGCCAGAAACAGGTCTACTACGTCTTGAACTGTATCATATTCACAAAAAGCAAAGACAGCAAAAAAGAGAAATGCTTTTTCTTTTTTAAGTACTTGTAAACAGTTGTGTTAAGGCTGTGGTCAGACAAACCTTATTTGAGTTATAGAAGGTACAAGGTGATTTATTTATCATTTTACAACACAGGGTTGTTTAACTAGGTGAATCTTAGCCTTATGCTACAACTAATGTAGAAAAATTGTAGATGGGTGAATGAATAATAAGTCATAAAGTAACATCTGTTATCCACTCTCCTTTTTCAAAACCCTTTCCCATCCTCACTACTTCTGTGTAATGCTTCAACACCTCCCCTCCCACCTGTCAGATGAGAGAAGAGGAGGTGAATCAGATGCGTCAGGAGATTACCAAACAAACAAAGATGAGAGAAGCCATCCAGAAGAAGCTCCACCAGATGGAGGATCAGAAAGCTGATGTGGATGTGCAGAGGGAGACACTGAAAGCTCAGATCGCTGGTCTGGAGAAAGGTACGGGAGTTTGACGTCAGCAGATATGTTGCTGCATGCATTTTCACTGCTGCAGCAGCTTTGCAGATGAATTCTGTCGGTCACAGATACCTCAGTCCACAATAGTGCAGCATAAAGCCACATCATATCACATTATATATCGGTCTCCCCATGGTGGAGATAAAGAATCGTCCCTCTCTCTCCGTCACCCCTCAGTCACCTCTTGGGCTGTTGGCTGCTGGAAGTCCTTGCAGTAATGTTGGCATTAAGCAGTGGTGGGGGAACATCAGTCACCACCATGTGGCGACGCTGCAGCTCATCAAGCAGCCTGTCAATAAACACCAACTTAGATTCTCTGTTAATAAACTATACCTACACACTAAGTTATTGATATGTTCTATCGTAAGACTAAAATATGTTATTTATATTTGTAGTTAGCTAAGAAAACCAAATGATTTTATCAGCAGCAGTGTTTAACAGTCAAATAAGTTCATTTGTCATTGTTTAGCCTGTAAAACACTACAACTGCATCAGAAACAACCTGCTCCAAATACTTTTTTTCTGGCTTTCTCTGATAGTACATGGCCGTAGTTTTGTCATAGACACACACATGCACTTGGAGAGTGACATGAATCATCTTCTCTGTTCCCAGTCTTTCTCTCCATCACTGCTGCCCTGTCTTTGTCCCTGTGAACTCCTAAGTAATGACAGTACAAGATAAGATTGGATGATTACAGGCTAATGAAAAATCAGTGTGTGAAGTCATGTTTTAAACCTATTATTTTGTTGAATTTACTGCATAAGCATGCGTGTTGAATGACTGTGTTACATCAATTTCTCCTTCCCCTTCCCCTTCCCCATACCATATCATCCCTCAGTTGCAATCTCCAATTTTCCCTACCACACCCATAGATGGGCAAGAAATAATATTAAGCATAATGTACAGGCTACATTTCCAGATGTGTATAAACATAAACAAATCTTTCTCCTTCCGCAGATCTTGAATCTTCCCAAAAGCAAGTTGAAACTGACAGGAAAGCCATAGACGAGCTGATCCGAGAGAGAGACATCCTAAATAAGGTATAAATGTTTACCTTAGGTTCTTGCAAACTAGAAATACTTGTATCATTCAACAACATAAATAAGATATATTTACTGTTTCTGTATTTGTGGGTATGGTCCCATTTAATAGAACATGGTCAAAGCTGCACAGTCAACTGAGAAACAGCAGAACCTTGTGAAGCTCCTGGAGCAGGACAAGAAGACCTTGGAACACGAGATCAATGGATACCGCCAGGAGGCCCAAAAGCAGCGCAAGATCATCCAACAGCTGGAAAAAGAACGTGACCGCTACATCAATGAGACAAGCAACCTCATGCAGAAGGCAGGTTATGCAGAAGAGCGAGCTTACTGAATGTTATTATTTGTAATATATAGTTTAAGTATAAGTTATTTATCAAAACAAGGTTGGGAAACCTGCTATCAACCTTGGCCTGTCTGAGGGGAACTGTTCTCCCTTCCACAGGTCCAACAAAAAATGAATGACATTGAAGTAAGAGAGATGGAGATATTTGATTGGAGGAAGAAGGTCACTGAGGCAGAGTGCAAGCTCAAACAGCAAGAGAACCTGCTGGAATCTGTTGTGTCTGAAAGAAACATGTACAGCAAAAACCTCATTGAGGCTCAGGTACGAATGACGTCTTCTCGTCGTCCACAGCTGATCGTCAATTTTTTGAAGCTTGCCAGCGAGTCAGCTGCATCATGCCAAAATGTATTACACCAATAGTTTCTAGGACATGGAAAAGTTATGACTGTGAGAGTCTTTAATTTCTTGAAATAACATATTGCACTAGGGATTTTTTCAGTCATTTTACTCTGTTTTAACTAGTTTAAAAAGATGCCTGAAGCTAAATATAGTCACTTGTGTCCAGTGTTATTACCAACCCCTTTCTCACAATTTCTATTAACTTTGTGACCACTGGTTGCACTGGTTTAATGTATGTGTTTAATATATGGTTTATATAAGCCTAACTTATTTTTTCTTCATTTCTTTCCCCCTTCCACCGTCTGTGTTTCTCAGGAAGAGATTGCAGAGATGAAGAGGAAGATGAAGACCATGAACAACCAGGTCAACCGATTGAGAGATGAGATCACTGGAAAGGAGCTGGCCCTTACCAAGGATCAGCAGGAACACAAGCGCTTAGAGAAGGATAACGAGGCCCTCAAGGTACTGCAGCCTGCCTGATTGACCCTACGCTAAGCCACGTCCCGAACACGCGGCTGGCCAATCACAGCTCAGTATAGACTGTGGATTGTTCACAATATTTCTTGACAGTGGTAGCGCCGTGAAAAAAGTCTGACAGGTCTCACAGTTGGTTGGACTTAGCAACAGTAACTATGGGGGGGCGTGGCTTAGTGAAGGGTCAATTGGTTCTGAGTTGGGTGAGATTTTTGAGTTTCTTATCATCATTTAGGTTTTTATTACTTAGCCCTTTTAGTAACTTTAGGCTTGGAAGAATGGTCCCCATTCACATGTTGGCGTGTGTATCGTCTGGTAAACCCCCGCCCCCATTCACAACCAGGAAGAGTAACTAGTATAAATTTGTGTTTTAGTATACTATAACATTAAAAAAAATATAATTTTTGTATAATTTTAATAAATTTATAGGTTACACTTTATCTGGATAGTCTGTCTACAGATAGTAGACAATATTTTTCTTATATTACACCCCTGTGCTAATGTTAGTGTATTCATTATAATTCCGATAATAGTATACTATATAGCTTACCACTAGTACAATATTGATTCCAGTTGGACAAAACAGCAGTGAAATTTTTGAGGGTTGTTTTCATTCATTAAGTTATTGAGTAAGAGAAACTGTCTGCAGTGGTAGTTAGTCTCTCATTTTTTAATGCTAAGTTGTAACTTGTCAACAATCATAACCATTCATGCCGAACACCAAGTTCAGCATTTTGAAAGTTTTCTGTAGTGCATCAACCATTTTTACTGTCCCACCAAAAATTAAAATGTAGAATGCATGTATGTGTGCACCCACTCTGTGTCCTGCTACAGGCGGAGCTGCAGATGATGAAGCTCCAGCTTGAAGACACAAAGCAGCGTGTTGACAGTCAGAAAGCAGAACAGCAAAAACTGCAGAAGATTATAGCTGATGCTGATGCTGAGCAGATCCAACAGAAGAAGCAACTGGAACAGGTAAAGAAATAGAAGGAGGCAGACAAGATCAAGCAAAGAAAGAGAAGGACAAACAGAGGCTTGTATCTGATTATTTTGTTGGCGCAACTTCTCTCAAGGTGATAAGAGAGCGGGACAACCTGGGCAAACAGCTGCTACGCCGCAACGATGAGCGCACGCTGCTGTGTGAGAAGATCAGGATCCAGCAGTCAATCCTGAGCAAGGGGGACTTCCACTACAACCAGCTGATGGAAGACATTCGCCTGCTCAAGCTGGAGATCAAGAGGCTCCGGCGCAAGAAGAACATTCTGGACAAGACTGTACCCAACACAGAGGACCTGAGGTAAAGGAGAGAAGAGGGCCTGAGCAGGATAAAGAGAGAGTTTGAACAAAGACAGCTTGCGTTGAATCACTCTAAGAGAAGAATTTGAAGTAGAGAAGAAAGGCAGGATGGAGAAAGAATGAGGTGACCTAGTAAGTTTTCAGAGTAGAAATGTACAGTTCAAAAAAAGCTAGGGCAAGGTGGAGAGACATCCAGACTCTGAGGTAGGAATAACTTCTTTTGAACCTCTAACTTAAATAGCAAACTCTCTATTAAAACTCCATAGTGTCTATAGTAAAGCTTTGCCTTTTAGACTCCAGTCAACCCGTAGTCACTTCATTAATTCATCACCTTCATTTTAATCTTTCATAAATGTATAATTTTGTATCGTGATTTTTACACAACCAGCTAAAAGAAAAGCAGCCCATTGTTTTTGCTAGTATTTTCTGTCTCTTCTTTTCTTCATTGACTAAAATTAGCTTACAGTAATTGTGGGGCAAATTTAGTATATTAATTGTGAAAGTAAATGTTGTATGTGAGGATTGTGTGAAATACCACTGGGTTGTTGTGTTGGAGGCGGGAGCTGTTCCACCTGCAGAGGGAGCTGCTTAGAGAGAGGACGAGGAACAGCATCCTCGAGGAGCAGCTGAAGCCCATAAATATTCACAGATGGAGACGACTGGAGGTGAAGGACTTGTTTAATAGTGTCCGTGTGGATTAGCTGTGGATAAGCCATTACCAGTCCTAGCCTGTTGTATTTTCATTTTTAGTCTTTGTGAACCACCCTTCAAGCAGGGTAAACCTCATTATTCACAAAGGAAAAGGTTAGGTCATTAACATTTTTAAATGACTCTCGCTTGCAGGGCAGTGACCCCGGCAAATACGAACTCATCCAGAAGATTCAGTCCTTACAAAAACGACTGATCGCCAAAACCCAAGAGCTTGAGGAACGGGAACTCCTATTACAGGTAAACATTTGCCACACTCTCTCCTCAGTGTGTTCTCACAAGCACACACACTCACTTTACACGCGTCTTTGCATTAGTCTTATCCCCGTGAGGAAGCAATGTGACTTCTTCAAAAAGGAGCTGGTCAGTAAACCATTACCTCTACCACCAGTCTGTATGTAAGTGCTACAGTAATCGTTGGCACTGCAGCAGCCGACTGCTTAGACGCCAACGGTGAGAGACAATTCCCGTCAGGTACTAGGTAGACCTCAAATGTGTCTTGTAGAACAACACAATAACAACAATAAGAGATTATTATTAATTCTACCACAGGAAAGAAAGCTGGACCCATTCAGAATGTTTTAGTGTTTAGCTAAAAGGATCTTGTTTTGAACTGACTTTAAAAGCTTATTAGAGGAATTTGATTCCTTTGATAGCTATCGCTTTAGTCCAGTGGTTTTGGAAACATCTTCATAACTATATGTTCACCATAATAATGTTAATTTAATCTATTATTTACTATTTACAAATTGTTTATTACTTAGTCTTATTACTCTGAACAAAATTATAAAGGCAACACTTTTGTTTTTGCCACCATTCCTCATGAGCTGAACTCAAAGATCTAAGACTTTCTCTATGTACACAAAAGGCCTATTTCTCTCAAATATTGTTCACAAATCTGTCAAAATCTGTGTCAGTGAGCACTTCTCTTTTACCGAGATTATCCATCCACCTCACAGGTGTGGCATATCAAGATACTGATCAGACAGCATGGGGATTGCACAGGTGTGCCTTAGGCTGGCCAAAATGTACAGAGCAGATGGCAGACAGCGTGTATGGCGTCGTGTGAGTGAGCAGTTTGCTGATGTCAACGTTATGGATCGAGTTGCCCATGGTGGCTGTGGGGTTATGGTATGGGCAGGCGTGTGTCATGGACAACAAGCACAGGTCCATTTTATTGATAGTATTTTATATGCACAGAGATACCATGACGAGATCCTGAGGCCCATTGTTGTGCCATTCATCCACGACCATCACCTCATGTTGCAGAATGATAATGCACAGCCCAAGCGGGAAGCTTCTGGCCTGAGACGAAAATCCAATGCGGACGTCCCTTTAACCTGCATTCTATTGAATGGCCAGCGGGGGGCGACTCTTCTGGTTGCAAAAGAAGTCCGGTTCCATTAGAAACAATGGTAAAATGACCCTACTTCTCAGCTGATTTATTACCTCAGTAAACACTTCCCTGATGAGTTTATTGTCTCAATTGCTAGTTTCAGGTCTTCTTTAATACAACACGATGTTTATTTAGTAAATTATGGTCCCATTTAGAGGAAAATAGACCATAAAGCAAAGTATGCTTCAGGGCAGGATTATCTATGATTAACAAGTCGGTACAATGGCGACCTGTCATTCAGGCTAGACTGACTCATACCCACGGCACTGAGTAAATTTAACCAGTGCTGTTGAAAAAGCGTATTAGGAGTTGCGTGTTCACTTTCACTGGTGAGTGCATTTACTTTTAAGCCTGTTGTTCGCTAGACAAAATTGTCAGCCCTGTTGAAGTGACAGTTAACGTGAATTACAGATGCACCTAGCTAAAGCAAGCTAACTAGCTCCACAAACGGCCGTTAGCTCCACCGTCTTGTCCAAAAATGGTCACGTTCGGGCACTTCCTGGTTGCAAAAACTCAATATGGCGGCTTCAAAATGGCAGTCCACAAACCAACGGATGATGTCACGATGACTACGTCCACTTCTTATATACAGTCTATGGCACGGTCCCATGTTGCAAGGATCTGTACAGAATTCCTGGAAGCTGAAAACATCCCAGTTCTTGCATGGCCAGCATACTCACCGGACATGTCACCCATTGAGCATGTTTGGGATGTTCTGGATCGGCGTATACGACAGCGTGTTCCAGGTCCTGCCAATATCCAACAACTTCGCACAGCCATTGAAGAGGAGTGGACCAACATTCCACAGGCCACAATCAACAACCTGATCAACTCTATGTGAAGGAGATGTGTTGATATGCCACACCTGTGAGGTGGATGGATTATCTCAGAAAAGGAGAAGTGAAATCTAACACAGATTTTGACAGATTTGTCAACAGTATCAGAATCAGAATCAGCTTTATTGCCATGTATGTATACACATACGAGGAATTTGATTCTGGATTGTACATGGCTCACAATGTGATTACTCATACAAAAACACAAAATCACAATAATAAAAAAATAAATAAAATCAGACACAGACTTCAGGGTAGATAACACAAATATACACACTGAACAAAAACAATATAGACATTGACAAATAGTGCAGTGAGCAGAGTGCAGAGGATGCAGGAGTATGTACATGTTGGAGGTGGATGTGATATACAGGTACATATATATGCATAAATGTACACATGTACATAGTGTAATGAAGCATAGTGCAAAGGATGCTGGAATAAATAAGTATAAGTATTTTGTGCAGGAGTTATGACTTGAGGTAGGTGGATTAGGTATACAGTATCTACAATATGACAATATAACAGTATGAACAGTACTGAAATAAAGTGTTACCCAGTGAACAGTGGCTGATTAGAGACAGAGTTACTGGGTTATTGCACAAGAATTGTTGCTGACACTGTGAGTCAAAAATCAGCTGTTCATCAGAGTGATGGATGGTGGGAAGAAACTGTTCCTGAGTCTGTTGGTTTTGGCGTGCAGTGCTCTGTAGCGCTTACCAGAGGGGAGAAGCTGGAACAGATTGTATCAGGGGTGAAATGGATCTGCAGTGATGTTTCTTGCCTGTTTCCTGACTCTAGAAATGTATAAGTCCTGAATGGAGGGCTTCAGGACCCGCCTTTTCAGGACCTGCCTTACTCTGCTTCTGATTGGCTAGTAGTCCTTCACTAGGTACTGCGCATGTGCAACTCATGATAAAGATCCAATAAAAGTGAGGTGCTTCACTCTGTAGCTAAAATTAAAGATGGTGAAAAGAGGAGCTGCAGCAATGTGCAGTATGACAAAAAATATGGTGTTGAATGAATGAAACCATGTAAACCTGTTTTGGTGCAACCCCTAAAGAAAATGAGGAACCTGAAAATAAGTATAATGTGACAACTTTAAAGGATAAGGCGGTTGTTGTTACAGTTTACAAATCCTGTGAAAAGTCCCAAACCAACAACAACAGTCCATGAAATTATATATTCAGCCATGAATATGTACATTCATCTTGCTGTGTTTCCTCGAATCAGCAGAAAATTTTATGTTTTCCAATGAGAAATGTGTGATTTGACATCATATTGGGCCATTATTTTCACCATATCTCTGAACAAAAAGTTGGAAAAGCTAGAGCAGATAATGAATAAACAACACCCAAAGATCAGTCTGCTGGAGGAACTACAAACTTTAGATCTGGAGAAAGTAATTTGGTTGGTTCTGTTGCTCCGCAGTGATTTTACAGTGATGGCACAGCATGTTTTGGACATCACCCCTAAGCCTTAACGGCAGGAAAACCCTGTTAATATGACCTCAGAATCATTATAGATACGACTGTTCATGTTTGCCTTTTGTGTCTTCATTTTACAGCTTCTGACATTTATCTGTAGACATTAATGTGAAAAATAGGCAACATGAGAAACCTCCTCCCTTCTTAGGTGCATTTTATTTGCACATTAACATCTAAAAAGAAACGTCTCCTCATCAGCTTAAAAGGACTACTTTGCATCACTAATTAGCTTTACTAACCTCGGCTCCTCCAGTCCCCTCCGTCCTTTCTTTTCCAAAACCACTTTTTCAGACTGAAAACTGAAAAATAATTGAATCAGTCTGTACAGGACAGAGCTGCAGGCTACGTCAATTTACTCTAAGTTTTTACCTGATGTTCTCAACATTGGACAAGTAGGCAGTAATAAAATACAGCTTCCAGTTACTTTCTATTAATTGAGCTAATGTTAAGTTACATAGCAGCTCTGTAGCTGCTGTAGAAGCTTTCCTGCTCAGCTGCGCAGTCTGAAGGGTCACTTTCTGCCGCTCGGACAATCCAACACTCACTACGCACCTCCCGCTGATCTTAAAACACCATCTGTCACGTATTTCTGCATAGAATGAGGAGAGGCAGCGAGCCAAGCATTGACTGCTGCCTTGCTCGCACAGTGTGCGAGTGAAAACATTTGTAGCGTATAGTTTAATGATCGTGGGAAATTTTAGTAGTGGCAGTCGTGATTCAAATATAGAGGATACACTGTCTTGTAAAGAGACTCCATAGTTTCCTAAAACAACTATTCGCTGTAGCAAACAGGAGTCAAACAGGATGGATTAGTGCATCTGTTGGGGACTATTTTCATCTGCAGATTAAACTACGTTTCATACTCTAATGAGTATTTGGTTATCTTCTATTTCCCCGCCAAGGAAAAGGAGAAGCTGTATGTGGAGCTGAAGCACATTCTGGCCCGGCAGCCGGGTCCCGAGGCTGCTGAGCAGCTCCAGCAGTGCCAGTGGACGATCAGAGAGAGAACTAAAAAGCTCAAGGTCATCCCTCACATCCTTTTCTTACCTGTCAAAGCTTATACTGTATCTCATGTTTTTGTTTTCTTGTTTTCTTGTGTTTTTCTTGCTGTAGTCCACTTCTTCATGTTTTCTCGTTTGACACCATCAGATTCTGGTTTTGCCAAGTCAACTATTTCTTTCTCTGTCCTTCACAATCCTGTGTCCATTATACATTTGAAACACTTGAGTAAGTTGCCATAATACAGTATGGCAAGCAGAAGTACCAGACTTAATCTTATCTGTGTTAAGGTGTTGTCAGATATACTTAAATATGAAGACATTTAGGTTGATATTTATTTCAGACAGTTCATCCTTTCAGTGACATGTTTTTTCAAAGTCAAATGATCCTCACCAGTACAACTCACTGTTTAAATATTTTTTAAATAACACATACATATCAGAACAGATGCAGCACCTGATTTCAAGTAATACATTGTACCTGTTTGCTTCTCTGTGTTCTATCACAAATTTTGTTTTTTCCTCTGATTCCACAGGTGTTGATAGCAGAGCTGAGAATGCTCGACTCAAAGATGAATGAGTACAAAAGTGAGAATCAAAGTTTAGCTAATGAGCTAGCAAACATTAAGAAGAAGTACCTCTTTCAGAAAAAGCTTCACAGGTGAGATTGATCTTTGCATCTTAGCAATCGGGTATTATTGATCTGTTCAAAATGCACAATTCATTTTATGCAGGGAGCATGTACACTGTAGCAGTTAGTGATAGTTCTGTTTGCTCTCTAATGTCCTGGAGCTCTGTGTGTCTCATCAGTGAGCAGAGGACCAAGACTAAGGTGGAGCAGCTGGAACCCCTGCCCCAGCTGAGCAGCAAACCTCATTTCACCGGAGGAGGCTTCAGGATCGAAAACCCCGTGAGAAGATAATGGCCGTTATGATGGAATATTTTATAATCCATCTGACACATTATCAGCACCTTTTTATCCTGTATTTTACCTTTATGCAATCATGAACTCTCTGGTCAATACTTTCACAATTTAGATGGATGACATGTATGACTTACAATAATGGTAACTTAATGATAAAAAATACTGCTAATTTCATTTGGAGAGTCCGAAGGGTGTGCCCCATCCCTCCCATCATACCAGGATATATATATATATATATATACATTTTCATTTGGGGGTGTACTCACTTTTGTTGCCAGTGGTTTAGACATTAATGGCTGTGTGATCTGTTTTGAGGGGACAGCAAATTTACACTGTTATACAAGCTGTACACTCACTACTTTATATTGTTGTAAGTTTCATTTCTTCAGTGTTGTCACATGAAAAGATATAATCAAATATTTACAAAATTGTGAGGGGTGAACTCACTTTTGTGAGATACTGTAGATAATCAGTATAAACATTTTGAGCAACACATCAAGTCCCTATCAAGTTTTTGTTTTTTCCAGCTAAGAAAATGTTCAAAATTAGAGTCTGTTGTCTCTCAATATGTTCAGCAATTAGTTATTTATACCTTTCTCTCATCCTGAACAGACTACAATAACTGTACATCACAAGTAAAAAGTGGTAAAGCACAGAATGAAACAAGTTGTGTCTTCAACAACAGTCATGGGACAAACATAATGTATTAATAGCCATCTTAAGCAAATGATTGGCTCTATAGGGGGGAATGATCAATCAATCTGAAACTTTGAAGAAAGCTCCATATAAGACCATATTAGTACCATAGAAAAACATCACTCCACCCATAAATATGGAGAGGTTCCCTCCCAACAAATCCCAAAAACTCCTTTAGGGAGTGAGAGGAGTCACTGTGGGAATCACTTTCTGTAAGTCTTATAAGTCTTCAAGTTCCAAGGCCACAGATCCAGCACAAATCTGTTGGGGTTCAATATTTATAACAGGCTACTTAGTTGACTGTGATAAACCATATACTCGAGTTCAACACTCGAACATTCAGGATCTTCACATTAAAAGAAAATGCTGCCCAATCAGGAAAGTGTAGCTAAACTTTTTGTAGAGGATACAGCATACTGAGAAGAGAATATCACATCCTTCTCAATAAAATAACCTATATTGATCTCTCATGCTTAGAATATTATTATTATTATTATTATTATTATTATTATTGAGCACTTATCAAAACAAAGCACAAAGTGCTTCACAGAGAGAAAGAGAAGACAAGAAAATCACAGTGAATGATAAAAAACATGAAGGGCAGAATAAAATACAATAATAATAAGAAATAACAAATGGAAATGTTAAAATAAAAACAGTAAAATAAACAGGCACTTAAAAGACTTACTTCATCAGGCCGGTTGTTCTAGAGCCTCAGGGCCCTGACAGCAAACCCCCGTCCCCTTTAGTTTTCAACCTGGACTCAAGAAGCGACAGGAGACCCCTGCCTGACGATCTCAAATTCCGGAAACGTTCGTAAGGCATTCTCTCCAATGCCAGGTTAATAAAAAGTATAGTTTAACACTCTCAGAACTGGCATGTTCTGCCAGCTATCAAATCCCTGAAGAAATGTGTGCTCAACTGACGCTCCACATAACAAATACCAAAAGAACAGTACAAAGTTTACCGACTCAGCCAACTACTACGAGTCTGCCTGAGTTTAGAGAAGGCTTTGTGCTGCAGTTTCCTTCTGGTCTCTACCACTACTGTGATCTACTGTCCTGTACGTTGACTAGTCCTTCTCTGAGAGCAGCAGTCCAAAAGCTGAAGGTTCCATTCTTGGATTTTTGACACTGTACTACAAAGGCAGGACTAGAAGGTCATCTGACAATGGCCTGCTGTTGTCCCTTAGTCAAAGTGTGTAAAGTAATTTTCTTTGTTTTCAGTGACTTGTAAAGCACTTTAAGAGGTTTGCATCAGAAAGGTGCTCTGTGAATAAACATTACTTTTTTAACAATAAGTGCATTGCTTGATATTTTATCAAAAATCCTAAAATATATGCTGTTAAGAAGCCTTTGACTGCAGTATATTTACTGAAAAGATGAATTAAAGAGATCATGTTACTTTTTGTTGCTTTTTCATGTCTGATATTTTAGATAAAAATTCACAGATTTCTGAAATGGAGGGAAAGACAGAAATGAATTGTCTGCACCAGAAATGTCATCATTATGGAAATATTGCCTGTATTTGCAAACTGCTCTTAAAGAATAAAAAATAGGATTAGTATATGACTATCACTTAAACCATTAATTACCAGTTACGTTATGGCAATAATACATACTTATTACAAGTATGGAGGAACCATTGAGACACATTTTTCCCAATCAGGGCCAGAGTTTATGTTGTATGCAGCAATTGAACATGTGATAATTATCTTTCAATCATCTGGAATAAAAGCCAGAGACTTAATGGGAGCAACTTCAAATGTCTTTTTATCAACACATATCACTCTGTATCTATGCCCTCTATTGTTCAGTCGCAATGAATGCACATGCGTTGTGAGTCACAGTCCTGAGAGTACCCAGGGGTCAAGGGTTAAAGTGCGGTGTTCTCTTGAGCAGGTTATTTACATTATGTCCCTGACATCACCACTAGATGTCAGCAAAGTAAAGGCTGACCAGTCAAGACAAAAATACTTTCAATCTCCTACTATACCTTTGAAATACGAATAAAAAAAAAGTATTTGCACGAGCTACTGAATCAAATAATTATCAACATCTCATTCTGTTGATGGCAACCAATTAAATCACCATGATTCCTGGTGATCTCAGGACTTCTGGGTGTGTTCTTTAATCTCAATAGTTTAAGTTATCTTATCGTCTCCCATTGACAGGTTACGACACAGACAAACACAAGTAAATGATACAAGAAATCTGTTTGTTTTTACTCAATGTTAACGCCAAAATTGCTGATTGTGTCTTCAAATTTACTAATTGTGGGATTTAAATAGAGAAGATCTTCCTTAAAGACTGAATTCAGGGCAAACTGTGTTCCTGGGTGCCCAACTACTGATCCATTGTTTAGGCTTCCTTGAAGATCAGCAGGTCGAAGGTGTGCACACTGAATCTGTTTCCATCCAAATACAGGTGTGTCATTATTTAATGTCTACAAATATTCACATTATTTGCTGTGCACATACTGGATTGACATGTGGTGTATGTCAGTGCATTATAGCTGCTTTTATTCCAACTATTTATTTACAATACTCATAGCTTATGTATAATTTGCTCTTGTTAAACTGAAATAATCAAATTCAGGTCCTGTACTGTGCCCCACCTCCACAAATCCAGCGCATTTATAGCCAACTCTGGTGGTGTTTACAGTAGTTGAAAAGGCCTACAAATGGAGAATTCCCTCCTCCTTATCCCTTTCTGTTGCTCATGGAGTAATTCCTTAGCCAGTGCAATTACGGTATAACCATGGTAACCGGCGCCTGTGCAGTGCTAGGCTGTGTGAGCTATGTTGCCGTAGTAATGAGAGGCCTCTGACAGGCCAGATCTCCTTTCTCCGCGTGTGTGCACAGTGTGCTCTGTGATATGAGATTTCATTACGTTGTAGTGTACAGCATCTTTAACTGAGCAGGCAGGCGCAGCACCTCCTGTGCACTGACGTCAAGTGGCTGCAGCTTCTGTCTTTGTCTTCGCCTGTTGTATCTGCTTGCCAATTTCTAAAAAGATGATCACTATTTTGGGAGGACTGTATCCTCCCAAATTTTTTGTCCTAACTGGTTAAAATATGTTAAGGGAATGTGTGCATCATGAGTCTTCCTCAGTGAACCACACCCTGGCTGATTACTTTCTCAATTCTCTCAAAGCCATCAGGCTGCAAAAAGCTTAATCTGTCACAACTGCTCATGTCTCAGAGCTGGATGTTCTAGACCTCAAAGATAGCCATATTATAATATTTCCCAGTCTGAGTGTGATAACATATGAACCGTTACATCAGTGCATGTGTTTATACTTATGAAGCCAAGGCTTTTAGACAGGACATCACAGATTGAAACCAGGGATTATGCAGATTTTGAAGCACAGGCTGTGAAGGAGGGATGGGTTAGCATCATGATAATTTGACATTTTTCATCAGCATCTTTTTTTATATATTGTCTTATATTGATAGTATTGATTTTCAAATGTTTAAAATTGGCTGTGGTTTATATATAGTGTATATACAGTATGTAGAATGCATATGATTTTACTTTAAGAATTGCCTGTGAAATAATGTAGTGAAAAGCAATCAGTACAGAGGATCCTCAGGTAAAACTAACTATTATATTTCAGTTCAGTTACATTTTATTTATATAGTGCAAATTACAGAAGTTATCTCGTTGCACTTTTCATAGAGCAGGTCTAAAACGTTTTGTGTGTAATAATCTTAACAAGTCCCACCATGAGCAAGCAGGTTTGGGTTGATGTATATCCTCCTACTTTATCAATGTAGTATGAAAAATCACCATCAGTGTTTCCTCACAAGATATTATCCAATGTATCGCAACGAACTTCAGCCTCCCCTCAGCCCCAAAGCATTTCCTCTTACTGTAAATGGATTTTACTTGTTCTCCCCCTTGTTTCTGTTCATTATGTTCTTTTTGGTTTCTGATAGTTGGGTGGGATGGTAGTATGGAATAGTTTTATTGTTTCAAAGTAGGAAAGTAAAAAAACAACAACATTTACTTTTTATAAGCAAATACAAGCTTGATTTCAGTTTCATGTTCACAGCATGTGTTAAATGCTGTATAGTGTGATTTTTCTTCAAAATAATACATTCTCTTCGGGATATGATATGATTGGAAGACCTGTGATATAATAAATAGGATTTAATGTACAAGGCAGAAAGATAAACAATGTGCTACTTTACCATAGAAACATCTCCATCCCCCAAACCTCCTGCCCCCCCTCTTTCTTCTCTCCTCATGAATATTGGGGAATTAATGCGTGCAGGAAGAGAGAGAGGGAGGGAGGAGGCAGGGACAAAGGGAGAAAGAGAGGGTGGTGAGGGAAGAAAGGGCGGGGGGTGCTGATTTCGTCAGAGGCCTGGCAGTGCGCAGGCTCGGTGTGAGCTGGGCTGGCTGCCTATTGATTGGAAAACAACGGGCTGTGGGAGGACAGATAAGGGTGGCTGTGGGCTAACGGGTGAGGGAAGGGATACAGACCAAAGCTCAGACCACGCTACAATCTTTACCTCCCTGATTTCTTTTCTCTCTTTCACCCTGGAATGAATAAGCACTGCTGCTTATTGATAGGTTTTCAGCGGAGGGAGGCTTAGGCTCAGATTCTCCTTGTCTGAGAAGATCCTGCCTACACACCAAGCCAGAACAACAGCGGCACATCTACTGCAGGTAATCTGTCTTCCTCCTTTACCTATCATCCTGCAGTTCATTCTTCCAGTGCTGACCTCTCCGCGGTCCTCGCTGTGAATTATCTTCCCACCATTCTTGCCTTGTAACCATGGTTTCCTCCATCTCTCCTTCCCTCTCCTCTCTGCTCTTCTCTCCCTCCCCCACGCTCCTCTTTTTTCCTCCCTCTGATGAGCTGATGACATGCATTTGCTTGATTTCCATTTTCGCCATGGCCGCCTGAAATTGCATTTGAAGTGTAAGCCAATTCAGTTATACTCGTGTGGGACAAAATCAGAATGATTTAACAGTATTTACAATACAAAAATGCTCATAATCCTGCCTGGAATCACAAAATAGAAAATACTAAAATATCTGCAATGGAATAGGTGTTCCATTTGTTGTTTGATCGTGTCGTTGTGGTCATTCCTCCCACAATGAAATGAGATGAGGGATTAGGCTCCACTGCATTAACCCCTGTGATTGGCTCTTTTCATACCTGCATGCTTGTTGAGATGCACCTGAGACCACGGCCACTCTGTGTGAAGGTCACATACAGAAAAGTCTGAAATATCTTGAACACCTCTATACTGCTGTCAGATCTAATGTGGATGCTGATTTCATACCTCCCTTTTTTAAAAACAAAATATCCCACTTTTCCGCATCAATTTATTTTCAATAGAAAGACCACAGCAAGACTGGAAAGTGCTTTTAGGATACTGAATTTGTGATTCTTCACCCTGTCAAATTGTCAAGCAACTGTGCATCAGAGTCCCTGCGGCAAGGTTAGAGTCAGCTACTAATTTCCATGTCCATGTTCCTTATTAAGTAGTCCAAATGAGCATAATTGGATCTGTTGACAGACACAAGTTGTCAGTCACTGTCACATAAAGGGGTGATTTATTCCTCTGCTGCAAGGATTTATTGAGCATGGAGTAATTTTTTCAGGAGAGCAATTAGTGTTAAGTCAAAGACGAAGAACAAAAAACCAAACACAAACAAAGAAAACACACACCAGGACAGAGAGGAGAGAGCAGATGAGATCCTGAAAAACAATATCCGGCTGTTGACGAAGCAGCACTTTGCTGAGTGGTGTGATGAGGAGGAAGAGGCTTGCACAAGCTTGTTTTTAAATGGACTCCTCTGTACTCACCCACTTACACCAGGCCACGGTCCAGCAAAGGATGAAATTTAGGCCTCACTGCTGTGATTACACTGCATCAGACAAACTGACTGATGCACAACGTCTTTTACTGACGGCAGGATTAAGTCCTCCACAAGAATGAATGCTGCGTCTTTCTGCAGGTTTGCACTCATTTACATTTGACATTTCTTCTGTTTCATAAAATAATTTAAAATTACTGTTGGCCTTTTGGTCAGTATGAGCTCCAGTGAAGTGTTTTAGAACATTATTTTATTCATATACTGCATGTACAGTCAAATAAAACTAACCATCATTTTCTACAGTTACTGAGAGCTGCTTTCTCTTAGTGTATTCCATTTCTGTGAACTTTAATGATAATTTCACCTAGAATTCTACAAACAAGCTGAACTAAGTATCAACCTTGTGCAATGAATCATCATTTAGGGGTAGGGTATTATATATATATATATATATATATATATATATATATATATATATATAATATATATATATATATATATATATATATATATATATATATAGGTATATATTTGTTGTTTTTATTCAATCTGCCATTGCACAACATATACACACAGCAAAGACCTGGAAAATCAAAATTACTTTTATAGATCTTGGAATGTACTGATTTCTCCTCTTTTCTGAGACTGTATGAACTCTTTGTCTGTCTACTGTGGGAAAGACCAGTTAATTAACTATAATTATTTAAGAAACTGAGAATGATATCTGTGTAGCAACTTCATATCTTTCTGAGACATAGAACAAACTGATGAGTACTTTGGACACAATTGCACCAAATTTAGCTTGAATGCTTTTGAAGGGAACATTTGAAAATACCACATCTTGCGAGCACCAAGGTTTAACATTATTCTCCTCAATGGTGTGCAACGCTGCCTTAACTGACAGACTAAACCAAATAAGGGACATATTCGAATTAATATAAAAGACATCAAGCTCCCAGTCCTCCTTATTCATTGTCTCTTTGTAAAGTGCTACGTTTAGGTTTCTTACCTTTTCCAATATATTTTGAAGTCAGTTTCTAAAGTCTGTCCTGTGAGGGGTATCATTGTGCTGTGCAAATGTATCCTTAGAAGTATATACATTTTTACAAACGATAAACATGCTTCCATAGAGACTAGAAGAGTCTATTGCTCTAAATCAGAATAATTCTTAGAGTACATTACAATGATCTGGCACAGTTTAGTGAAGGATATGTCTTTAGACTCATATTTATCATCAAAACCCTTAAAGGAACAATTGACCATCACAAAATGTAATATATTGTGCACTTTGACAAATTTCATGTCCCAGAATCTTGGAAACCTCATCATTTAAATCCCAGTAGAGGTACTTAATTAACTGTGGTTTACCACTAAAGCCAACTGGTTAGGTTCCCTTTGGGACCTGGTCCCCTTCTGGCACATCTACCTCCACCTCCTCTTTGTCTAGACAACATGGTGCCATTCCACATGAGGTGAGGCAGGCGACATTTAGATAAATCCTTCTGGGATATTGGCAGATCTAACAGATGGGACAAAGATGGACTTCTGTGCTTTGTCTGATCCGATCTTTTTCGTTTGCTGCCTTGCATGCGGCCTTGCCTCATTAAAGGAATGCTTATGAAACTTTAAAAAGTCAGTTTTATAAGCTGTTTTAGCAAACTCAATGCATTAAACACTATATCACCACCACTCTGATTGTGCAGGGCTCACAGATCAACAGACAGGGGACACCATGGAAGCCCCTCTTGTGTGTTTGGACGAGGAGTTTGAGGACCTACGGCCCTGCCACATGGATGAGCTGGACCACCCGGCGCTAAACCACTCCTCTTACTCCACCACCACCACCATCCCCCTGGCCTCCATCACCCGTGAGGACTTCTCTGAGCTGGAGAATTTCTCTGAGATGATGAGCTTCAAGTCGATGGAGGACCTGGTCAACGAGTTTGACGAGAAGCTCAATGTCTGCTTCCACAATTACAACACCAAGACGGAAGGCCTGGCGCCCATACGCAACCACTCACACAACCAGGAGGATGAGGAGAGGCTGCAGGACGAAGAGTGAGTGACCACAGTCACAGTAATCTAGTTTTACAAAGTGTTCTTTGCACAATTTTTTTAGTTTTTAGAACCTTAAACCTTGGACTACAAATTATGTGTGCTTACTATTTGAATTTTTCAACATGCAAAATGCCTCATGTTGCATCTGGGCTGTGTGATGCGCCCTACTTGCAATCAGAAAAATAATAAAGTGATGGAAATAACCACAAATATAGTGACATCATAAAATGCCAAAATATCTCTCATCACACATAAAACAGAACCTCTTCCTCCAGCCCTTTATGTTACACACTAGCCTTCTCATTACGCTGCCTTTAATGCCATTCAGTGCACACTCTCAAGCCAAAACAGGGGCTCAGCAGCATGCCACACATGACAAAAGCCAAAATATTTCCACACACAGACATCCTAAACAACCCGTCAATCAGGAGCACGACCCCACCCTCAGCTCCACAGTCGGGCTGCATGCTGAATTATTCAACGTGCAGTGTTGTACGCCTCAGTTGGCTTTGGCTCTGGTCTGTTTCTCCACCAGCTGACTGCCAGATCTCCCTCCTTTTGCTAGCAGGCTCTGAGGCGGAAACACACACGTCCTCATATGAATCGTGCTAAAAATAGTCAGACTGTAGGTGTAAGAGGAGAGCTTTTGGAAATGAATCACATGATTTTGATGACAATATCAAATTGCTGTTAAAAATGAGGCTGTTTTGCTGAATAGAGCTCTGACTGATTATTGAGCACACAACGCAGTTGTGGGTAGATGTGAGTTCTAAAGTAGTACACTAATCTGCATGTTATGACCAAGACACAAGCCGAATGTCATACACTGATTTGTTTTGGCACAGATAAGGAAACCAGTAGAGATAATGTATATTTCAGTCAAACATAACTGTCCCAACCTCCTCCTGAGGTTTTATCTCATTGTTTCTCCGTTTTCATAACAATTCCTGCAAGAAACCATCCATGCTGTGATTTCAAGTCTGTCATTTACTATTTATATATCTTAGTGTCACTTTGACACAGAATACTATTAATGTACTGTTATGTTTATAACTCAGCTAGTGGTGTAGTCTAATTTAAAGTGACTCATTTAAAACTGGAGGATTTTACAAAAATAATCATCAACAATGTAAATCTGCTGTCTGGTTGAAAAGAGTCGCACATTTTGGCCTAATCCCTGCAGTTGCCTGATTAGAAATGCAGATATATGTAAGTCCGACAAGCTGATGGAGAAGTAGAATATCAAACAGAATGATTCTGTGTCTGCGGGCCAACAAACACAGCAGCACAGCTTTGTAACATGGTGTTCCAGTTCCTGCTGGCCAGACAAACTGTGTCCTTGTGTTATGCATGCAGTAAGTGCTGCTCCTGGGTTGTTGTGGTTTCCACTATGGTTATTGCTGATTTGATTTTTAGAAATGTCTTTTAATGAGGTGAGTGTTTTTGTATTTAAAGCGTTCAGAATAATTTAAAGGAAAATGAAAAGTTTGAGGACATAAAGATGAGGATACCAGTTTCATCATTGTCCTTCACACATAGAGCTACAGCCAGCAGCCTGTTAGCTTAGCTTGGGACAAAGACTTGAAACAGGGGGAAAAGCTAGCCTGTGTCTGTCCAAAGGTCCAAAAAAAACCCTGCTAACCACTGCTCCCTGCCACGAAATAATAACTCCCTGTAAAACCACAAATTTTCATTTTTGCACTTCGGTCTTTGTATGGAGTCAGAGATGCTCACAAGTCTTTGAGCTAGAGTCCAAGTCAAGTCTCAAGTCTCTCGTGGTTATCACCTGCTGCGTTCAATCCAGGTTGCTAATAAAACTGCATAGCTATAGGGAATACTGTAACTGTAACCTGTTTTTCATTTACAGAACACAGGCATGTAATGTGCAATGCAATTATTGACGGCTTATTAAATACTGTAAGTCAACACACTCCCCAGTCTCTTAAATTCAGTGTAATGTTAACTAAATAAAACTGTGACGTTGCATAATCAACAATAAACCTGTAACCTCTTTCTAGCCAACAGTAATAATTAATTTGATGGCAGCCACCGGGACGTAAATTATTACGTTAAATCGACCGCCACAAGTTTGGCAAGTAAACAAACGCTCATTTATCTTTTCATAAAAAACGAGAGTCGGAGTAAACCTCCCGTAGGTCGTAGCTGAAGCAAGAAGCAAGCTAACGGTAGATGGCCAATGCTGAGATAAACATGTTAACTAATCTCAGATTACTAACCTATTTTGCGTTCGGCGCTTCTTTGTTTGGGTCTTGTTGTATGAAGTTTTAAAGCCAAAGTTTATGACGAATGGCGCAGCAGCTGCGGTGTTTGTTGTTCTCTCTTATGTGTGGCCGGGCGCGGCAGATGCTAGGCAGGTATAAACATTGTTCACAAGTCCCGCACCCTGAGTCCGAGTCGAGTCTGAAGTCTTTTGAGGACGAATCTCAAGTCGAGTCTGAAGTCACCGTGTGTGCGACTTAAGTCTCATCATCTCTGTATTTAAGAAATGGACATAGTCATTGTGACGTCACCCGTTGGTTTGTGGACTGCCGTTTTGAAGCCTCGAGTTTGGCCGATAGGGCGCCGCCATGTCGAGTTTTTGCAACCAGGAAGTGCCCAGAAGTGACGATACAGCTGCACTATCGGCAGTGTGTGGAGCTAGCTAGCTTGCTTAGCTAAGTGCAACTGTAACTGTCGTTAACTGTCATTTTAACAGGGCTGATAACTTTGTCTAGCGAACAACAGTCTTAAAATTAAATGTACTCACCAGAGAAAGCGAACAGCCGACTCCTAATGGCGCTGGTTAAATTTACACAGTGCCGAGGGTACGAGTCGGCTCTAGCCTGATTGACAGGTCGCCATGGTAACGTCTTGTCAATCATAGATAATCCCGCCCTGAAACATACTCTGTATTTTAAAATAAATTGGACCATAATTTACTAAATGAACATCATTTTGTATTGAAGAAGACTTGAAACTAGCGACTGAGACCATAAACTCATCAGGAAAGTGTTTACTGGGGTAATTATTCAGCTGAGAAGTAGAGTCATTTTCCCATTATTTCTAATGAGCTGGACTTCTTTTTGCAACCAGAAGAGTCGCCTCCTGCTAAATTTTCAATAGAATGCAGGTTTCAGTGACTTCCGCATGGGCTTCATATTGTAGACTGTAAGCTTTAATTCTAGCTCACTATTGAGAGCTAGCTCACATTAAGATGTAACAGCTATTTTACATGCTACATAGCTGCTTTGATTGTTTCTTAAAAACAAATAATTTTTCTGTTCAAATTTATTTGTATTACACTGCTAAATTATGGTCTGAATATATGAGGGCCAGTGTACAGAATGGTGTCATCCAATTTATTCAACTTTCAGGAAAACATTTCAAAAATTTTAGCACATAATTAATCAATTAGTCCATTTTTATTTTCCCTCTGTCTGGTCAATGACAACCCTTTTTATAGCTTAGTTTTCATCTGCGGGTTAAGTGTATTGAAACTTTGTCCCTGTTTATTTGCCTGTGCATGCAGCCATGGCATGCAGGCATTGCTGGTGAGGTAAGCTGTTGGCTGAATGGTGTCCACTGTGTGTCCGGGTGTGGGCAGTGCCACTGGGAGCAGGGCAGCAGGCCTGAGCCAACCTCTGAGTGGAGGAGACAAAGGAGACTTCTCTCCCAGTTTTATGTCATTCCTCCTCAGACAGACGCTTGCACCGGGTTGCAGTCAGAGACAACGAGCACAATGATGTGAGAAGCTTTATCTAAATCTCTGCTAAGGATACCTTTTGCTGAGTTGTAAGCTGTTTTTCTTCTGTTGTGCATTGTTCCTCTGCAGCCTCTGGCATTGACCACCGTCATTGACTTGCCACATTGAAATATTGACTGATTTGCAGGCTGCTGAAGACAGAACTGTGTAGATTGGAGATAAAACAACACACTCTACTTGAATGCTTCTATATAACTGTCTAACTACAACATTTGTGGATACACCAACTCTAAATAGTAGACAGCCAAAAATAGTGTTTTGGTGTTTTTGTTTTGTTTTTCTTACTTAAAAGTTGCTTACATGTGTGCATTTATGTGTCTTTGTGTTGTTTTGCAGTGTGTGGGATGCTCTAACTGACAACTACAATTCCACCTGGGACAGCCCTAACTCAGAGGGACTCAACGGCAATCTTTCTGACCAGGAGGTACATGACACTCCACATCTTTCATTTCTTTCATTTGGTTAAGAAATGTGCTTTTTAGAGAGGCGGATTTAATTAGGTTTCTATAACCTTTGGGCACATGTATAGTGAACATGATTTCATTTAGCTGACAAAGCTAACATGTCTTATTTTAAATTCCTGTTTGTTCCTTATTCTGACATTTTTGTATTTGGTTTACATTTACGTCTTTGAGAATAGCTGCGTACCACTGCTATGAAACCATTTGACTGTTATTTCAATCAACATCCTGTACAGAGTGGATGGTATGAAACAGTACATCAAAAGCGACTGATTCTGTGATTTACTGTAATCTTTATCTACACAGTGTATGCTCAAATGAGCATCGTTTATTAAAATTGAGGTCTGACCCAGAAAACATGCGCACAACGCCAAGGAGGGATAAGTAGTACTCTTAATCTTTCTACTGGCTACAAATAGTCTGTAACACTAAATTATCAGGGAATATATGATTCTGTTGTTTTGGTTTAAGATATCTGTAAATGAAAGTATCAGCCCAATGTGTCATTATTTGTCACTTTGAGTTGCTAACTGGTCCATTCTTTCTGAGACTTAATCTCATGCTGACACTTGAGGACACGCTTGACCAATCTTGACTGCTCTGCCATTCAGCAGAGGTCTCCCTCTTCCTCCCCACCCTTTATTGGCTCTCACATGCAACTGCAGGCACTTAGCAGTCTAGGCCATGTTTGGGCTGGTCAAGGCCAGAGCAGATGTTGTTGTTGTGAAAATACATTGTAGTGTTGATATTCAGCTACATCCTGCCTTCAGTCGAGTTGTTGGAATTGTCACTAAGTTTAAAGTATTATAGAAAAATATTTTTTCTGTGGATACTTGAGCTAAATGCTAATAGCAGCATGCTACTGTTCCCACAATGACAATGTTAACATGCTGATCTTTAGCAGGAATAATGTTAAATTTATTTACTATCTTAGTTTAGGGGTGCCACAGAGGGGAAGTGGTTAGCACGGTCACCTCACAACAAGGAGGTCTTGGGTTCAAACCCTTGGTCTTCTGCACACAGGAGATGGGGGTTGACGATGGATCTTGGTTTAGCATGTTTGCTAATCAGCAGTAAACTCAAAGCACAGCTGAGGGCGATAGGTTTGCAGGTATTTGGTCATAAGCCAAAATGTTGGACAAATTAAAAACTTGATATGACGATGGTGCTAGGTGAAATGCTGGGATCACAATTGTGATTACAATTCATCATGAGGGAACATGAAGGTCTGACCCTAATTTAATGGCAGTCCATCCGGTACTTGAGGAGACATTTCACACAAGACATAACAATGGCAACCTCATGGTGGCGCTTGAGGAAATGTCGGGCATTTACCAAAGTTATAAGGAAACATCGTCTGGGAATGTCTGTACAAAGCCAGTCTGCACAGACTAGTATTACCATTCAGTATACCACACCTTTTAAAAGTGATACTATATCATGTAAAACATTTCAAATATTTAAGCATTAGTCTTTTAGATAAGTGCAATCCCAAAATGATTTCTCCTTTCCAGACACTGATCAAGTTCTTTTGGAAACCTATTGTGGATTTAGTTTATTATTCCAATGCAGATAGGCAGTGTTTGACTCATGTTAGCCTCTTTTCTTAGTAAGACATCCTGTCTCACATTCTGTAGATCCACGAAAAAGAAGAGGAGGAGATGAATGAGAAGAATGACAATGCCAACTGCCTGAATGAAGAGCCGCTCATCACAGCCGATCAGGTGTGTGTGTGTGTGTGTGTGTGTGTGTGTGTCTAAGATCAAACAGCAGTTTGTCTTTGTCCTGTTGATGTGACTTTTCTCAGTATGGCGCTCGGGTCTTTGTTCATCCTTTACCTGCCACTTTTCACACAAAATGCGTGTTTGCTTAGAATCATTTAGTTTGATGGAATTACCGGAATCTTCTTTTAGGTTTTAGGGAAGTACGAAAAATCTAATCTTAGCAATGCTCCTGAGTTTGTAATATTGCAAAAAAGGGTTTAAACAATCTTAAGTAAAGATTCAGAGACTAGCCTTGGATTTTTAGCTTCTTGTCTGATGGATTTATGTACAAGTACATCAGCATATGATCAGTGTAACAAAAATTGAAAACAGTATAGAAAAGCCTCTGTGGAGCCCCAGAGATCACTTTTGACATTGCTAGACGTGGCATTCCCATTTTGATAGCTCATTGTCTTCCACCCAGGTGATGTTGTGTGTATGTGTTTGTGTAGTCTTTTTTGCATGCATGCTGCTTAGGGAGAGGCTCTTTATTGTGTCCTTAAAAATAGTGTTAGACTGCTATCATGTTATGCATACAGGAGCTTAGACAGATGCTTGCTGAAACTCCTGCAGCCTGTGCAGACATCAATAATGGATTTAAGTATTATATGTACACTTATAAAAGAGGCTTTTGGCATTTTAGTGGCCACACTCTACTGATAGATGGACTGTTAGATAGATGTGTGTGTACTTACCCCAGCCTACTAATCTCTTTCCTGTTCATCCACTCTGTCTCACTATATTCTTCCATCTGTCTCACTCTCTCTCTTCAAGGTCATTGAAGAGATAGTCGAGATGATGGAGAACTCTCCGGATCCCGGCGAAACAGAGGAGGAGGATGAAGAGGAGAGCAGCCACTGCTCCTCCAGGACCAACCCCTCGCTGCTGGAGGAGATCAGGCAGCTGTCACAGGCCTCCAACAACAACTGCTCCTATGAAGGTAAATATTCCATGTTTTTATGTTTTTTCTTCAAATGAATGCAACTTCCCAACTGACACTCGAGCATCAGTTGTAAAAAGTGATTTGTTCACTGCTCCAGAATTTTCTCAGCTGGTCTGGGATGTGAACAGCCTATAAAACATCAAAACATTGCTCATTGTAGACTTGCTTATGGAAAAGTGATTGTTTTCTGGACAAAGCAACTTCATTGTGATAGGTGATCAGTCTAATGACCCTTTATGTTACAATTAATGTTTCTACTTGAAGCATGTCGCTAAACACCAATAAAATACCAAAGGTGAGACCCCCAGCAAATGAGTGGACATGAAAAATATAAGATCCAACATGAAGGCCAGTTATCATAAGTACATGGACAAGGACCTGCACCAACTGCAACTGTATACCCATCATATGTAATAAGTAGTTTACTCTAATATTCAGATCTTATTTTTGGGGAGAGATTGGAGAGGTATGCGTCAGTTCGTCATGTTCATGTCAGCTCAAGCCCACACAACAGCTTTTGACTCACTAATCCAGATGGTTAGATTAGTCATCTTATTTCAGCAGGTCCATAGGGAGAGTTCAAGAGGGCAAGGTGTTCTCTGCCATAAGGCGCCCTGTGGCCGAACATATTGGAGATCCATGTGGTTCCTCTGTCTGTGTCACATTCATTTGGCCTGAACTCTGTGGGACTGGGAGCTGAACACGTGTGAGGCAGAGCATCTTTTGTTTCACACAGCTGTGTAAATAAATCGATTTGTCCAGTTTTTTTGGTGTGTACGGTGATCGCTAGCCTTTGTTTTACATTCACGTTTTAGGTGTTTGGCTTACATAGTCAGGGTTTTTAGCTTTTTCACCAATGGTATTATGTTGTTTTTTTGTTTTATTTTTGCTTCTTTCTCTATGTTTAACTATTCCCTGAGATTCTTGTTGTACTTTATGTGCACATATGAAGCACCTTGCACCTCTGGTTTTGAAAGGTATTGTTGAAATAAGTACTAACTTGTCATCAGATCAAAAGAGCTTTGGGGAAATTGGATTTTTTCAGAGGGAATGGATAAAAATGCGACAAATAAAAAATTTTAACCATTAAAATATGTAATTTACATTGTAACACACAACTGGCTTGAAGTCTTTTAGTCCTATAAGCGGCTGGATAAATTCAACATCAACATTGTAGTAATAAGCACTGTAGGATTGTCCATATACTGTATACTCTGTACTGTACATGAACTGTAAACTGTAAATTTATTGGTATAATGATAATAATAATACAAATTCAAATATGATTACTAGAGAAACATGAAAAAGCTTGATACAAGCATCTTTTTCTCTCTCATCTTAGGAGGGAACATCACTGTTGCATTGAAGTGTCGCTTTGTCGTATTGTGTGTTCATGAATTGTATGCAAAGTGACAAAGGCAATGCTTTCTCTCAAGGGGTGAAAAGCAACAAATACTTGGGGAGTGAAAAATCCAAAAGTAGTCAGCTGTTAACATCTTTCTTGATCTTTTGGAAATTAATGATACTGCCATAGCGTTGCAGAAACCAAATAGTGTTACAATAAAGTCTGAGTCGACACACTTTTTGTGTTTGTTCTGCTTGAGTCTGATTAACTCTCACTTTTGCTCTTTTGCTCAAACAGTAAAAAAGTAACTGTAGCTCCTCTGTCTAAACCTATGGGCAAGAAATGATAGTTTTGCACATAATAAAATCCAACTGTCCCTCTCTCCCCCTGTTCTGCAGGCCTGAGCCTGATGCCCAGCTCAGCGCTGGTTGAGCTGCTGCACCGGGTGGAGGCTGCCATCCGCGAGTTCTCAGAGGAGCTGGTCAGCCAGCTGGCTCGGCGTGAGGAGCTGGAGTTTGAGAAAGAGGTGAAGAATACCTTCATCACGGCCCTGATGGAGGTGCAGAACAGGCAGAAGGAGCAGCGAGACAGCAGCAAACGCCGGCGCCGGGACAAGGCCCTGAGCCTGCAGGGGGGAGGGACGGCATCTGTGATTGGAGGGAATACAGGCTCCACAGGCCACATGGAGAAGACAGGGAGCATGCCTGTCAAGGTGAGATTTACCTAGGGATTTGAAGGTTTTTGACTTAAAACTTTGCAATTGTACATAATCAAAATTGGATGTCAAAGGACTTCTGTTGCCTCTCCTTGAAGATATGCCAACATCCCCCTGCAGTGGGTTCTGGGAGCCCCAATAGAATGCAGAATGTTGTGTTTTCCTGCCGAGCGTTGCCTGCAGTAGGGACGTGAACATTGTAGACCAATTGATATATTACAGCACCCTAGTTCTCACCCCGTCACATGTGCTCTCCACAATGTTCTTATATTCACACAGCTTAGGCGCAGAACAAACTTGTTTAGGCGCTCTCACAATGGGCCAGATTTTCAAAGGAAATGGTATTGCACAAATGTGTGCTGCGGTTTTTGTGTGGTCGCACTTCTCAGACAGTAGCTCATTACATGTTCAGCTCCAGGACAGATCCTGGTTGTGAACCTTTAGATGCACCAGTGAAGGAGAGCTCTTCAGGCCAGTTATACAAGCCTTAATTTAATGCACATTTCTTTTCCTACAACAATCTTCCTTTTGGCTCCTAAATCCCTTCTGCTCTGTGTTTACACCTCCTTCTCATAGAATTTCCCCTCAAAACTCAGAGTCGCAAATAGCATGACCTGTGCACACATGTCCAACGGAGTACAATCAAACCCTTTTAACTTCTCCTCCTGATATTTGTGCGATCCTCCCTTAAAGGCATTTGCAATGAGGAGAGAGGTGCACTTTGTAAACACTGCACAGATCCAGCCTGCTGCATCTGCTTGATAAATACAGCTCATGTGTTTTGGCCAGAATGTGTCATTTCTGAAGTAAATCTGGTCCAATGTATATTTCGACCATTCCAATATAAATAAGAGAAAGTTGAATCCTCCTTACAGCTCTTCCTCTTCCCTCCCCTGACTGTTAGCATAATGGATCTCAGGTCCATTAGCCTCTATCTTCCAGGAAAGTGGAAGTGACCTGTTGTCTGCATACAGTAACAGCCCAGTCCAGTGTACCCCTGTACTCCAGTAACAGAAAAACAACCTAATGGATTTTCCCTCCATGCATTGCAGCAGCAGCGTTTTTATCTGGTGACTGCGGTGTACCTGAGGCTGCATTACAGATGGCTTAATGATGCAGATGCAATATAAACAGTAAAGCTAATTGTATTTCACGTCGACGTCATGTTTGTCAACAACATGGTTTGTGTGAGATGCTGAAAGGTATGTGTTGGACTTAAACAAAAAAAAAACTCTTGATCAGACTTAAAAGTCTAACACTTATATCAAGGAACTGATCATCAGTAGCTTGTAATAATGGTCTGTGTGTGTGTGTGCCCTGGTTGTGACCTGCAGCGTTTCAGCATGGAGGGACTGTCTAACATCCTGCAGACAGGCATCAGACAGACATTTGGAAGCACGGGGAATGAGAAACAGGTATGGTCAAAGGATAGTTGGAAATTACGTTTGTTGGTCAAATGCAGAAATGAAAAGCTTACAAATCAATTCAGCATTTTGTGTTTCTCAGCAGCTCATAGTTGAAAATAATAGTTTTACTCCAGTTTTTGTAGGCCTTATGTAGCAGGTTCCAGTAGTGTAGTGTTGTGGTTACCCTTGTGTTTACATTTAGCTCACAGACCTCAGTCGGCATTAAAGGCTTAATTGCAGTGCGCAGACTGACAGTAACTAACTTCTAAAGGAATTGTTCGACATTTTGGGAAATGCAAATATTTTTTTAGCTGAGAGGACTGATAACCCCTCTCATGTCTGTGTACTAAATGTTAAGCTAAAACCAGAGCTTAAAGCAGCATAAGGATTGGCAATGGGGGCCAGGCTACATGTATTCATGTGTTACCAGTCTTTAAGCTAAGCTAAGCTAAGCTAAGATAAACTAAGCTAAGCATCTCCTGGTTCTGGCTTCATATTTAACAGACATATATGAGAGTGGTAACAATCTGGGCAAGAAAGTGAATAAGTGTATTTGCCCAAATATAATATAAGTTCCCAGGTTAAGTGTTCCATTAACACCAGTGATAGAAAGCTGCTTCTGATTAGCTAGGACAGAAATAGAAATATCTAATCATTACATAGTAACTTGAATGTTACCTATCCTAGTTAGGTATTACCTCTGAACCCTGACTCCGTTTTCAGTATCTGAACACAGTTATTCCATATGAGAAGAAAGGCATCCCTCCATCTGTTGAAGACCTGCAGTTGCTCACAAATAGTGAGTATCCAGCCCAGAACATCTGGACCAAAAGGCAAATAATAATTACTGGCTTGTTGAGTTGATACACTTTTTATTTCATCCACCTAGTTCTTTATGCCATGAAGGAAGACAGTGAGAAGGTGCCTACACTGCTAACTGACTACATATTAAAAGGTAAATACAACAACACAAGTTTGAATCCTTGTTTCAACAACCAAGCTTTTGTTCACAAAGTGCTTTTGGTGAACTGAACAAAACCCTATTGTTCTATTGACTTGTATAGCTTACCATACAGTACAGGGGAAGACAAGACAAGACAGTGAAGATACCAGTATGTTATCAGATCTGAATATTGTTTAGTAAAATCTGTTAATGCGAAATTTCTTCATTTTGCTACAAGAATTACAATATTAAAGTAACTTATTACTTATCCTATAGAGACTTAACATTATCATCCACTGTTTTTCCACTCTAGTCTTGTGTCCTACCTAAAGCACCGACAGGCCAGGGGCCACAGTGTGACAGAGAATTCTTCCCCTGAGGGCTTTTCCAACCCTCCTCGCCTCTGGCCCAAGCTGCATGACCTCTCCTCGTTTACCATTATCAACCATGGGTTCTCCTCACCATCGGCATTATTGTATTCACCTCAACTATGACAACTGCCTTTCGCTGAGCTCACCTTCTCCCTTCCTGCACATTAAGATCAGGCCAGCCCCATAATGGCCGCCATCTGAATTGTTAAACAAGTGGGACGGCCAATCCCACTTTTGAAAGGACTTCACTAATGGAGCATGACATGCTACTAAATATCACAACATCACTTTGGTACAGGGATACAACATTATCATTGCTTTCTGTTCCTTAATTTCTGTAGTTAGTTTCTTTTTTACATTCCTTTGTTTCTTCTAAAATTCTATGTTGACATAAACTGACCTCTTTACCACTGGGTTCTGTTGATTATTGTGTTCATTGATTCATAAGGACTACACTGTATAATAAACAAAATGCCATACTGCATCCATACATTATCATCTCCCTGTGTTTCAGATGAAAGCAGTGATTCATTTGAATACAAAAGCCATGCACCTTTTTCTGCCAACTTAGTACTGTAGTACCATGTGAATAAATAGAAACACACAACTATTACGGGTGCAGTGCAGTGCATTACAAAGCTTTTTTTTAATTTTTGCATCACTATCTGAATATCCAGTGCTCTTCTGACTTTTTTGACATTTCTTTTAATTTGTATCTAAATATTTGATATAAACTCTGTTGCTGATTTTCTACTTTTATTTACTGTGTCATCAGAGCGACAAGCTTCTGTGCATTCCACCCTGTTCAGCCACATGGAGGTGTACCACTGAGTTTTCCTTGGATCTATCATCCCCCGATGAGATGAGCTTATCTCAATAATGGCGTGCATATTTGCATATTAGCATATTTATGACTTCCTTTGCGCCATGTAGGTGAATGTAACATCGCTAATTGCAGATTCTAATAAACATTCTACCCTAACGGTGTGTGCATTTGCTTCTTTCTGTCTTCACCTTTTTAGTTTAGCAGGTAACATGATCAATCAACTGTGACAAGACTAGCAAGACCAGCTTTAAAAAAATATATTAATGATTTAGGTTTTCACAAAGGTGTCTTTTACACTGGGGACGCTGGGGACATGTCCCCACCACTTTTTGAAATGGCTGATTTTGTGCCCACCACTTCTTAAAAGCATAATTTGTTAAATAATGTTCTGAAATATAGCTTGCAGTTACATAACAAATGAAAACGAGACACATGAGAAACAGATCTGAAAGCAACACATTCTATTTTATATTGAAATGTCACGTGCTGCCTGAATTTTGTGTTTCCTTTTACATCGTTCTCTTCACGCCCCTAATCTGAGTCCCTGTCCCCACCACTTTTTTCAACACAAAGTGACGCCCTTGGGTCTTCAGATAATGTAATGAAAAAATCACCCCCCCCAAAAAACACAGGAGAGAAAGACTTTTCTGTTTCTTTCTCACTTGCCACCTGGGACGTCTCTAATAATGTGCCATATAATCAAAGATCTACAACAGGCATGTTTTAAGATTTAAAGACTTTGCTTTGAATAAATATTTGTGTTTGTTTTTATACCAAAGAGTTTAATTACCTTCATTCATGTAAGTACATCTGCCACCCCCACTGAAAAATCCTGAAAAAAAGATATGGTTCAATTCAAAAGTTGAACTGCAGGACACAATATGTCTCCTACTTAAATGAAAATTCCATTTCAGTATACAGTCCAGTCCATTATGTGCATTGGGGGCTTCAGGTTTCCATGTCACACTTGTTTAAACACGTAAGTTGTATACAGAACCGTGATTCATTTCCAAACTGTGATGTCACAAAATTCAGCTGGTTTCATGTGGAATCTCAGGAAGCGGTTGCTTTTGGAAATGAGTGAAACAGAGATGAGCATCATATTTCTGTAGTCAGCCTTTGCATAACAAAAACAACATGGCTTCATGTTAATATGGTTTCAGGAATATAGAATTCTATAAGGACCCAGACCGACAGGTTTCTGTGTGTGGGCTCTAGTGCAGTGGAAAACTAACTGCCTCTTAAACCTTATTGGTAGATCCATTCTCCCTCGCTGTCACCAAGGTACTGATTTATAATTATCTATCTAATATCCTTATACAGCTCCATTATTGAGCATGGGGCATTTGTCCGAACAAGTAGCCTATGGCCTAACTGCACAACATTGCCTTGAGGCAACACAGAAAATCACAGTTTAGGAATGTACATTGAAATAATGTGCATTAAACTGTTGCTTGTGCTTGCATGCTTGTATTATTTCTAACAAGTAATTTTAATTTAAAAGTGTTAAATTTAGATTTATTTTACCCTCTCCTGGCACTAATTAGCAGGTCTTGAATGCAGAGATTCTTCCTCTACAACTTCTCAGGTCTTAGCCAAATACAATCAACTTGCTGCCCTCTGGTGGTTGACGTTAAATATCAGACGTGCTCTAAGAAGGGGCAACAACTACTTTACATTACCAAAATATGTATTCAGTCCTACCATTAGTATTTGAAATTAATTAGGATAATTGCTTTAGCATAAAAACTATCTTTCAGTTGTGATTGTAACTACTCTGAGTAGCTTTGGGAATCACACACACACACACACACACACACACACAACTGATCATTTCTCTTTTAATTGAAAATATTATACAAAGCATTTTCCATGAACATAAATATGGAGGATACAAGTGCACACTGCACATTAATGTCCACAGTTTAGGCCTAATGTATAAACAAGCACAAGTTTGGCCACCAGTTAATCCACAGTAGTTATACAATCCATCGTGGTTTATAACTCACTGACAGTGAGCACTTCTGTCACATTTACTATTTATAAACTCTGCTCATGTGCTTTTATACATTAATGTATAAAAATAAAGGCTTGTCTTGAATACATTTCAATGTTCATAATGTACAGTTTTTAAATGACCCATTCAAATTAAAACGAGTGCATAAGACTGCATCATCCTCACTTTCACTCCTACTTTCAACTTCCCACATGAAACCTTTCCATTTTCTCTAATATACTTAAAACAATCTCAACAAAACTATCAAAGCGTGAAGCTACAGCTACCACTTGCTTGCACATTTCGCAGTCCAGCTTGTGTCACACAGATAGCGATTTTCAGAAATGGTCTATAAAAGACTGCTCTTATGTTTCCCTTCAACATAATCAAGTTTCACGTGATTCATTTCAGAATTGTGTTGTTAGTCTGCCATCGTGTGCACATTTTAAAAAAAGCTCCAGTGTCATTACAATGCAGCAGAATAGACAGTATGATCACTGTCATTATACGTATATGATGTCGTCCAAATCCAAATGATATTTAAATAAGCATTTGTGTGACTTGAAAGTGGACAGAATAAGATAGAAAAAAGCTATTTAAATAATACATGGATTTCATTGCTTAAGTTTGAAAGAAAAATCCATTTGATACCACAGTTCATGTTCTGTTCTTGAACCAATCAGTGCACATGTGCTAAGATCATTAACGATACATTCTGAAACTGCAGTAAAGCCGTTTTGAATGCAAAAACTAAGCTGACATTGTTAACAAGGTCGGTGACTGTGAGTGGAGCAGTCTTTCAGAGAATAGCGCCTCTTCTGGCATACAGCTGTAACAGATATCCATAAATACCGACTGAACAAAGATCACAGCAGTGTAATATACCATCTTTTTAAATTCATGACATGCCAGATATTTAGTTTTTTAAAGGAAACTAGGTTTGAGCCAAAAGTATCAAGCCATCATATATTTGGGACAATACTCTGAAGGCTGTTTCCAATTTCCAAATGTACTTTCCCAACATTAAGGGGGAATGGTTTATCTTTCTCACTTTCTCTTAATAGAAAATGGTAGAATATCACTAACTAGGCACCTGCAAGACTCACCATCATATCAGTGATGTTTAGAGAAACTCATATCTGATTCAAGTTACCAAGAAATCTGGTCTATAAAAAGCCTAAAGCCTGTAGCTTTTGGCAGTGAATCAAACTGCATGTCATGTCGATTTAAAACCTCACTGACCTACACAAATAATCTACAACATATAAAGAGAGCATGTTGACAGACATGTGTTATACTGTATATCTTTGGTTCAGTATCCACTGTTGCAGGTAAACATGTTCCCTGTATCATTATGTTCCATACAGGCTGGGGCCAGCACTATGCTGTTAGTCACACATTTAGCAAAAAAATAAATATCATATTTACAATTTCAATGCAGCAGGCAACTTTTAATTATTACAACTCAAGTGTGGACTGTATTAGCAAAGTCACCATACTGCACTTCTGTGTATAAGAAGCTTTAGCTAATCTGTGTTTTAAGAATTGAGTCTAAGAGCATTTATAAGCTGAACCACCACAAAAAAAGGATTAGGAGACTTTATCATATGTATAATGTTGTCACATCTTTCTTTCTATAACTCTGCTGCAGAGATGTACTCATTTATAGATATTAAATCACACCCAGTCCTCACGAACTTCCCTTTAAGCAACATCATCATCTCTGAACATCACTCACATAATGTGCTTAAACCTGTTTTGGTCTTGATAATTCCTCCTTTAGGTAGTTTTTAAGTAAAGGTGATTGATGAAGTACAGCAGACCCGCAAAACCCTCATCTTACTTCATCTGTGAAAATTCCAAACACATGAATGCCCCCACTGATGACATTTGCTATTCACTTTGTGGAATCAGTATGACAGGAGCAAAGAAAATATAATACATTTAAAATCTTAATTTGAAAAAACATTAGAAATGCATTGATGAAGTAGAAAAGAGGTTACTGGATAAATGTATGAAAATCAAATCTATACATAGTTTGCAATGTATACAGTGCATACAGAATATAAAAGACTTAAGTATACTTAAAGCAGCTAAACAGTCTGTGTCTGAAAGTCTTGCCATGAAAGCTTCTTGGCGCAAAAGCAAGCGTCAATAAATGAATTCGACCTTTTCTACTGCAAATCTTTGCTAAATATTACATAGTTCCCTTTAAAAAGAATCAGCAGCTGGCCCTTTTTGAGCGTGTAAAGGGACAGTATTTCACTGTTTATGTCATCAGCACTGTTTTGCCAGTGCTGGCAGACATTAGACCAGAGATCCAGCATGATTCTGTGCAGGCACCATGATGGGCACTCCTCCCATTCGGGCGATGTTGGAGGCTGTGACTGTGGAGGTGGGCAGCGGTGGTGGGGAGGGAGCGGCCTGGAGCTGCAGCTGAGGCTGGCTGTATGTCTGCGGCAGCGCCTGAGCCTGGGGCAGCTGGGTGTAGCGCTCTGGTCTTGGTAGGGAGCTCCCATTGGTGCTGGCCTCAGAGGAGACGGGCTGTCCGCGTGGCATGGTGGTATTGTTGTTGTAGCTGTAGTGGGTGGGGGTGGAGGCGCCGTGATTGCGGGAGGGTCGGTAGCCGGCCGTGCTGCCCGTGGCGGTGATGATGGAGGCTGTGTCTGAGGAGGGGCGCTGGGGGTACTGCTGCAGGTGGTGGTGGTTGTTGTGGTGGTGGGAGGGCTCTTTGTGGTGTGGGCTGGACGCGATGGAGGACAGCGTGCCATTCTTAGAGATATCTGAACCCATGCCACTCTTAGCCCAGGACACACGCTTGGGAGCCTGGGCGTCCTCCCTGGAGGTGGACAGGACACACAGTCAATTTACCGTTTACACCACACACAAGAACTTATAGCGAGACTCTACATTTGACAGAACAAATAACAGATTCTTCCACTTACAGAAAAAAAAATTATAGCAACTGACACACCCTGAACACATTTAGGGGTCCTGCTGCTACAGTCTGAGGCGACTTGGCCTGGTGTGACCAGTAGCTAACAAACGTAATAGCATTCAGTTAAAGTGCTAATTCCTCACTGTAAAAATACTCAAGTTAGTAAAAGTACTACATTGAAAATGTTAGTAAGTATAATCATGAAAATGTAATTAAAGTAAA